CGGTGTGGCTCAGCGGACGGAGCCTTGGCCTGCAGACTGAAGGGTCCCGGGTTCGATTTCCAGTCAGGGCACAGGCCCGGGTTGCAGGCTCCATCCCCAGTGCAGGGCGTGCAGGAGGCAGCCGATCCGTGCTTCTCTCTCATCATTGATGTTTCTCCCTCTTCCTTCTTCTCTGGAATCAATAAATAAAAAAACCACACATTTAAAAAAAAGAATTTTTGAAAAAAAAGGAAGAGAAAAGGGCAATGTGCTATCTGCTCTCTCTCTCTCTCTTTTTAAACACATTTTATTGATTTCAGAGAGGAAGGAAGAGGGAGAGAGAGATAGAAACATCAATGAGGAGAGAGAATCTGCCTCCTGCACACCCCCCGCTGGGGATGTGCCCACAACCCAGGCATGTGCCCTTGACTGGAATCGAACCTGGGGCCCTTCGGTCCGCAGGCTGCTGCTCTATCCATTGAGCCACACTGGCCAGGCTACTCTCTTTTTACACGTGGGGGGGAAAAACAAAGAAATACCCAGAGCTCAGGAAGGCAGGTACCTTACCCACCACAGACACTAAGTGCCAAGGTGGGATTTGAACCCACGGAGTTTAGGACCAGGGAGGGCATTCCTTCCCGCCCGCTGTGTGACAGACAACGGCTCTGAGACCCAGCCAGCTACCAGCCAGCACCGGGGAGGCCTGGGCAGTGCCCGGGGTGGGCCGACGACCAGAGTGGAGAGCCCGGCTGCTCTTTGTCTCAAACCCCCGGGTCTGCACTCACAGGGCCTCTGGTCCCAGCCGGCCCTGACCCAGGTCCCCAGCTGCAGGGCCACCAACGCTGCCTGCCGGCTCCGAGGCCTCAGCTGCTGCTGCCCCCACTCCGATGAGCAATTGGCCAGCGAGCTGTGCCCGCAGTGGAGGGAGCAGGTGGTGGTGGGGAAGGAGCAGGGAGTGGGGGGCCAGGGAGCAAGGACCTGCTGGGACCCGCCAGAGGCCGGACCCAGACAGGGAAGGAATCCCAGCTCCACTTCCTGCCCCAGATGCACGTTCTGCTGCCCGTGGGCCCAGGGTCCATACCCCAGCCCCACCTTGCTCCCTCCCCATCCGTTTTCTGTGCTAAAAAGTGGGGGTGTCCATCTGGCGTGGTTCCGTGGCTGAGCGTCGACCTAGGAACCAGGAGGTCAGGGTTCGATTCCCGGTCAGGGCACAGGCCCGGGTGGTGGGCTCAATGCCCAGTGTGGGGCGTGCAGGAGGCAGCCGATCCATGATTTTCTCTCATCGTGGATGTTTCTCTCTCTCTCTCTCCCTCTCCCTTCCTCTCTGAGGTCAATAAAAATATACACTGAGCCCCAACCAGTATGGCTCAGTGGATAGAGCCTCAGCCTGCGGACTGAAGGGTCCCAGATTGGATTTCAGTCAAGGCCATGTACCTTGGTTGCGGGCACATCCACAGTAGGGGGTGTGCAGGAGGCAGCTGATTGATGTTTCTAAGTCTCTATCCCCCTCCCTTCCTCTCAGTAAAAAATCAATAAAATATATTTTTAAAAAGAAAAGAAATGAAGGTCTCTAAATACTGTTTTTATTACAGAGGGGTACTTAACCACTCCATGATGGGAGTGAAGCAGAAGCTTTAAATATACATATATATCCCTAACCGGTGTGGCTCAGTGGATAGAGCGTCGGTCTGCGGACTGAAAGGTCCCACGTTCGATTCCAGTCAAGGGCATGTACCTTGGTTACGGGCACATCCCCAGTGGGGGGTGTGCAGGAGGCAGCTGATGGATGTTTCTCTCTCATCGATGTTCCTCACTCTCTCTCCCTCTCTCTTCCTCTCTGTAAAAAAATCAATAATGCACATTTTTTAAACAAATAAAAGAATGTGGTGTGGCCGCTCCCTGGGAAGCACAGAGGCGTGGAGGTTGGGGGTCAGTAGATCCTGGCTAAGAAATAAAGGCACATCGCTCCTCTAAGATGCTCCATGTGGGGGCGTGGCGCTTAATGGCCAGGCCTCCTCCTGGAGGGAACGAAGTGTTTGCAGCCCAAGGGTGTGGCGGGGCACTGCGGTCCATCTCGCTGACCGCCGCTCAAGTGCGCGCTTCCCCAGGATTCATTTCACCTCGGAAAAACAACAACAAACCTATTATCTCTTTCAAAAGTATATTTTATTGATTTTTAAAGAGAAGAAGGGTGAGGGACAGAGAGTTAGAAACATCGATGAGAGAGAAACGTCCATCAGCTGCCTCCTGCACAGCCCCCACCGGGGATGTGCCCGCAACCAAGGTCCATTGCCCTTGGCCGGAATCGAACCCGGGACCCTTCAGTCCACAGGCCGATGCTCTGTCCACTGAGCCAAACCGGTCAGGGCAATGTATTTTTTAAAATAAAGCTTCAGCCGAAACCGGTTTGGCTCAGTGGATAGAGCGTTGGCCTGCGGACTGAGAGGTCCTGGGTTCGATTCTGGACAAGGGCATGTGCCTTGGTTGCTGGCAAATTCCCAGTGGGGGTGGGGGGGTTGTTACAGGAAGCAGCTGATGGATGTTTCTAACTCTCTATCTCTCTCCCTTCTTCTCTGTAAAAAATCAATAAAATATTTTTGAAAAAATAGATCTTCTACTTCACTCCTATCACCTAGTGATTAAGTACTCCTCTGTAATAAAAAGGGCGTTTAGAGACCTTCATTTCGTTGTTTTAATATATTTCATTGATTTTTTTACAGAGAGGAAGGGAGAGGGATAGAGATTCAGAAACATCGATGAGAGAGAATCATCTATCAGCTGCCTCCTGCACAGCCCCCACCGGGGATGTGCCCGCAACCAAGGTCCATTGCCCTTGGCCGGAATCGAACCCGGGACCCTTCAGTCCACAGGCCGATGCTCTGTCCACTGAGCCAAACCGGTCAGGGCAATGTATTTTTTAAAATAAAGCTTCAGCCGAAACCGGTTTGGCTCAGTTGATAGAGCGTTGGCCTGCGGACTGAGAGGTCCCGGGTTCGATTCTGGACAAGGGCATGTGCCTTGGTTGCTGGCAAATTCCCAGTGGGGGTGGGGGGGGGGGGTTGTTACAGGAGGCAGCTGATGGATGTTTCTAACTCTCTATCTCTCTCCCTTCTTCTCTGTAAAAAATCAATAAAATATTTTTGAAAAAATAGATCTTCTACTTCACTCCTATCACCTAGTGATTAAGTACTCCTCTGAATAAAAAGGGCGTTTAGAAACCTTCATTTCGTTGTTTTAATATATTTCATTGATTTTTTTACAGAGAGGAAGGGAGAGGGATAGAGATTCAGAAACATCGATGAGAGAGAATCATCCATCAGCTGCCTCCTGCACGCCCCCCCCCACCGGGGATGTGCCGCAACCAAGGTCCATGCCCTTGACCGGATTCGAACCGGGACCCCTCAGTCTGAAGGCCAACGCTCTATCCACTGAGCCAAGCCGCATTCTTAAAAGGACTGATTCTAAAAGGGAAAAAAGAAAGAAAGAAAGGAAAAAGATCCGTTTACAAACTCGGCCTCAGGTCTTTTACCCTTGAAGAGCGTCCCCCCTCAAATTCCACCCCCCACTAGGAAAGGCCACACCTTCCCTAGGCCCCTCCGCCCCTGGCTTCTGCGCCTGCCTCACTCCCCCCTCCCTGCCCTGCCCTGCCCCTGCCCCCCAGCAAACCCCAGGGACCCCAACCGCAGATCTTTTCCTCTTCGGTCCTGGGTTCGTACAGCAGGCCAAGCCCAGGATCTCCGGCTGGAATACAACCATCTCCCCAACCATAGACGGTTCAGCCGAAACCGGTGTTGCTCAGTGGATAGAGCGTCGGCCTGCAGACTGAAAGGTCCCGGGTTCGATTCCGGTCAAGGGCATGGACCTTGGTTGCGGGCACATCCCCAGTGGGGGGTGTGCAGGAGGCAGCTGATCGAGGTTTCTCTCTCATCGATGTTTCTAACTCTCTCTCCCTCTCCCTTATTTTCTGTAAAAAAAAAAAAAATCAATAAAATATATTAAACAAACAAACAAACAAACAAACAAAAAACAATAGACGGTTCTGCGCAGGCACCTGCCTCAGTCTCCCCGTTCTGTACAGCGGGCGCAGGCGCTGTCCATGGGGCCAGGACCCCCCACCCCACCCGGGACCCCGCAGAGCGGGTCCCAAGGAGCCGGCCCCGCCCCCAGTGAGCTGACCCCGCCCCCATCGCGTTGGCCCTGCCCCCGCCCCGCTCCGCCCCCAGCGAGTTGGCCTCCCCTTCCAGTCCCTGCCAACCCCACTCCCAGAGCGTTGGCCCCGCCCCCGTCCACACTCGGGCCCCGCCCCCAGCGCGTTGCCCCGCCCCCGCCCCGCTAGGGCCCCGCCCCAGCGTGTTGGCCCCGCCCCCCCGCTAGGGCCCCCGCTCCCATAAAGTTGACCCCGCCCCCAGCGCGTTGGCCCCGCCCCCGCCCCGCTAGGGCCCCGCCTCAGCGCGTTGGCCCCGCCCCCCGCTAGGGCCCCGCTCCCATAAAGTTGACCCCGCCCCCATCGCGTTGGCCCCGCCCCCGCTCCGCTCGGGCTCCTCCCCCAGCGAGTTGGCCTCCCCCTCCAGTCCCCGCGCCGGCCCCACTCTCAGAGCGTTGGCCGCGCCCCCGTCCACGCTCGGGCCCCGCCCCCAGAAAGTTGGCCCCACCCCCGCTCCTGCTAGGGCCCCGCTCCCATAAAGTTGGCCCCACCCCGGCGCGTTGGCCCCGCTCCCGGACCGCTGGTCCCGTCCCCGGACCGCTGGACCGGCGCGCGCTCGCCCTCCAGGCCACACCTGCCCCCGCTCCCCCACACGGCCCTTTCCCAGTGAGTTGACCCCGCCCCCAGCGCGTTGGCCCCACCCCCGTCCACACTCGGGCCCCGCCCCCATCGCGTTGGCCCCGCCCCCGGACCGCTGGACCGGCGCGCGCTCGCCCTCCAGGCCACACCTGCCCCCGCTCCCCCGCTCGCGGCCGCCGGCGGCCAGGGGTCCCGCCGAGGTGACCGGAGCCCGCGGAGCCGCCGGCCCCCGCCCGCCATGAGGAGCGCGCTCCCCCTGGTCCTCCTCTCGCTGGCCGCCCTCTGCGCGCGCGGTGAGTGCCCGGCGGCGGAGGGCGCGGGGGGCCGGGGCCCCGGGCCCGCAGGACCGGCCCCCGGCGGGCGGGTTGCGAGGTCGGGGTGCGGGCCGGCGGGCGGGTTGCGAGGTCGGGGTGCGGGCGAGATCCTCTCTCCGCGGGCGGGCGCCCCGGGATGCCCTTGGGGAGGCAGGTCCGGGCGCGGGGAGGGGTCCCTCAGCCCCGCGCGGGGGGCGGGGGCGGCGGACTGCGGCTCATCCGGCTCCCGCGGGGGCTCCCGGCTCAGCCCGGCCCGCCCGCCCGGCCCTGGGGCCTGGGACCGGGCAGTTTGGGGTGAATCTCCTGGAAACACCCCCCCTGGGGCGGGGCTGGGGGCCCCCCAGGAGGGGGACACCCCCCCGCCCAGGCAGCCCTTGCAGGCAGAGTCCAGGCGTGGGGAGGGCCCCCTCCTCAGGCCTCAGTTTCCCCAAAGGACCCGGTGGGCTCTCCCACTCGGACCCAGAACCAGGGTGTTATCTCCTGGGGCGAGGACACCCCGCAGGCTGCTCTGGAGGCAGGAGAGGGTGGGGCTCTCACCAGGGACCGTGGCTGCACCGCCACCTGCTGGCATCGTGCCATTCCCTTCTCTCCGGGCCTCAGTTTCCCTCTTCGTTCCTCCCTCCCTAGGGAGGCCCCCCGTGGGGCTCCCCCTGCAGATCCCCGCTTCGGGTCTGCGTTTAGATAGCTTCCCCCCTTCAATAGCTCCCGCCTCAGTCTCCCCATCTGTGCAGTGGGCGCAGGCGCCGTCCGCTGTCCACCTAGGGCCGGAGAAGCGATGGTGGGTCTTAAAGGTGAGCTTTTTGGGACAGGTACAAGCCCCTCGACCTTTTATTATTTACGTATTATTACTTTTTGGATTCTTTTAAAAAAATATATTTTATTGATGGTTTACAGAGAGGAAGAGAGAGGGATAGAGAGGTAGAAACATCGATGAGAGAGAAACATCGATCAGCTGCCTCTTGCACACCCCCAACCGGGGATGTGCCTGCAACCAAGGTCCATGCCCTTGACCGGAATCGAACCCGGGACCTTTCAGTCTTCAGGCCCACACTCTTTCCACTGAGCCAAACCGGTTTTGGCTGGATTCTTTTTTTGATTGAAACATCCTTTCAGAAAGGAAGGGAGAGAGAGAGAGAAACATCATGATGAGAGAGACTCATGGACTGGCCCCTAACTGGGATCAAGCCCACAACCCGGGCATGTGCCCTTGGCCAGAATCGAACCCGGGACCCTTGAGTCCACAGGCCATCTCTCTATCCACTGAACCACACCTGCCAGGGCCACCCTTGACCTTTTATTTATTTTTATTTTATTTTTTAAAAATATATTTTATTGGTTTTTCACAGAGAGGAAGGGAGAGGGATAGAGAGCTAGAAACATCGATGAGAGAGCAACATCAATCAGCCTGCCTCTCACACCCCCGCTCCCCACTGGGGATCAAGCCCACAACCCGGGCATGTGCCCTTGGCCGGAATCCAACCCGGGACCCTTGAGTCTGCAGGCTGAGGCTCTATCCACTGAACCACACGGCCAGGGCCACTCTCGACCTTTTTTTTTTTTTTTTTTTTTAATCCATCGCTGCCGTGTCATAGTTACATCCCCTCTCTTTGGGACCCAGCGTCTTCACAGGGACTCAGTAACGCAGGAAGGAAGGCCCAGGGGTATAGAGGGGTCGGGAGGGGGGTGCTGGTCTGAGAGAGGCCGGCCCCCGGCTCTGTCTCTGCTCGCTGGGGCCCGGAGCAAGTGCCTCCCCGCTTTGGACTCAGTTTCCCCTGTGGAGACGCAGAGGGGCTGAAGGATGGGAGGGGTGTGGAGCCTCTGACTCTGGAGCCCACGGCGGGGCCTCCCGATGGGGCGGGACCCCCCGATGGGGCGGGACCCTGCTGGCTGGCCGGGCGTTGGCCTGAGGCAGGACCGGCCCAAGGGCGTATCCACTGGACCGGCCCAAAGGTGCACCCACTGAGCATCCCGGTGGGCTGGGCGGGAGTCCCCTGGGGCCGGGGAGATGGGGGACCCCGGGACTGGGGGGCTAGGAGCTTCAGGTTCACAGACCCAGAGCTGCCCCAGACACGGCAGACATGCCCCTTTTTATAAAATGACCGGTCAACTCGGCCAGTGTGGTTCAGTGGGTAGAGCGTCGGTCTGCAGCCGGAAGGGTCCCGGGTTCCATTCTGGTCAAGGGCATGGACCTTGGTTGAGGGCACATCCCTGGTAGGGGGTGTGAAAGAGGCAGCTGGTTGATGTTTCTCTCTCTTCGATGTTTCTAGCTCTTTATCCCTCTCCCTTCCTCTCTGTAAAAAATCAATAAAATAAAAAATAAAAAATAAAATGACCGGTCAGCCCACACAGTGTGGCTCAGTGGGTAGGGTCCCAGGTTCAGGTTCGATTCCGGTCAAGGGCATGCAGGTTCCTCTTTGCCCAGGCCCACACATGCAGGAAGCAACCAAATCGATGTGTTTCTCTCACATCCATATTTCCCTCTGTCTGTCCCTCTCTCTTCCACTCTCTCTAAAAATCAAGGGGGAAAATATCCTCGGGGGAGGATTAAACAAATAAAATAAAATAATAAAAAGCCCAGTCAGCCGAAACCGGTGTGGCTCAGTGGGTAGAACGCCAGCGGCCTTCGGACTGAAAGGTCCGGGGTTCGATTCCGGTCAAGGGCATGGACCTTGGCTGCGGGCACATCCCCGGAGGGGGGCATGCAGGAGGCAGCTGATGGATGAGTCTCTCTCATCGATGTTTCTAACTATCCCTCCCTTTTCCTCTCTGTAAAAAAATCAATAAAATATATTTAAAATAAAATAAATAAAACGACCGGTCAGCTCAAACGTGAATCCTTGAGAGGGTCCGGGGGAGAGACCCGCTGGGCTGGGGCTGCAGGCCTGGGAGCTGCTGGCCTCTGGGTGGGTTCGGGGTGAGAGGCTGGGCTCCGGATCTAGGCCGGCTGGACAGCCCAGGCAGTGGGGGCCGGGGGGGGGGGGAGCCGGAAGCAAAGCCACCCCGAGCCTCCCTCACGGGGCCCAGCACGTGGCATCTGCTCCAGATGGGCAGTAAGTCAGAAAGTGCGGGCGGGAGCCAGCGGCTCCTGTGGCCGGGCCTTCACCCCCCTCCCCCGAATCTGCCTCCCCCACCCTCTCCCCCCACATCCCGCACCCTGGCCCCACCCAGAGGGAGAGTCTGTAAGACAGGGGAGCTGGGGGCCCCACAGGCACCCACCTCCTCAGCCCCCCTTCCTCCCCATCCTTCCCCTCCTGCTCCCCGATGCCAGTGCTACCCCCACCCCCCTGCACACTCTCCCCTCTCCCCCCTCCCTCCCAGCGTCCCTCTCCCCAAGGGGTCCCTCCAAACCTCCTCCCCAATACGTTCTGTCCCCCAAGAGCCCAGGCAAGGCCGTGAGGGAGGATGGGGCTGGAGGACAGACGGAGGGGCTGGGGGGCAGGACAGACGGAACTGGGCACGGGTTCTGGACTGGAAGTCCGGAGTGGGGGGGCACTCCCTGCTGGAGGAACGGAGGAGGGGGACCTGGGATGGACGGGGAGCCCCGCTGAGCTCTGTCCCGGATTTTTTTTTTTTAAGTATTTTTATTTATTGACTTCAGAGAGGAAGGGAGAGGGCGAGAGAGGAGCATCCAGGATGAGAGAGGATGAGGGATCGGCCGCGTCCTGTACGCCCCACACTGGCGATCGAGCCCGCAATCCGGGCATGTGCCCCGACCCCCGTGACCTCCTGGTTCGTACGTCGATGCCTAAACACGCTGGTTGGGCCATAATCTTTTTAAAAATTTTTTTTAAAAATATATTTTTATTGATTTTGTACAGAGAGGAAGAGAGAGGGATAGAGAGCTAGAAACATCCATGAGAGAGAAACATCCATCAGCTGCCTCTTGCACACCCCCTACTGGGGATGTGCCCGCAACCAAGGTCCATGCCCTTGACCGGAATCGAACCTGGGACCCTTCAGTCCGCAAGCCGACGCTCTATCCACTGAGCCACACCAGTTTCTGCTGGGCAATAATCTTATGCTAATAAAAGGGCAATATGCAAATGAATCACAACACCCGCACAGTAACAACTGGACAGCAGGCCGGGTGGGGTGGCCAGGCAAGCAGAGGGGGCAGTTACGGGCGACCAGGCCGGCCGGCAGGTGAGCAGTTAGGAGCCAGCCGTCCTGGATTTGGGAGGGATGTCCAATCGGGCCGAAGCCGGCACTGGGACATCTCCCAGGACACAGAGCAGGGACCAGGGTGCAGGGCCAGGCTGAGGCACAGGCTGGGTCCCAGTTGGAGAGGGTGCGGGCTGGGCTGAGGGGACACCCTCTCCCCCGCACACCCGAGGCGCCCCCTTCCCAGCGGTCCCACCGTGTCTTCCAGGGCAGGGCCGCGCGACCAACGCCGAGGAGCGGCTCATGGACGACCTCCTGAACCGGACCCGCTACAACAACCTGATCCGCCCGGCCACCAGCTCCGCCCAGCTCATCTCCATCCGGCTGCAGCTCTCGCTGGCCCAGCTCATCAGCGTGGTGGGCGCAGGGCCGGGGCGGGGGGGGGGAGGGGGCAGAGTGCAGGGCAGGGGTGCAGGGTGCAGGGCCAGGGGTGCAGGGCAGGGGTGCAGGGTGCAGGGCCAGGGGTGCAGGGCAGGGGTGCAGGGTGCAGGGCCAGGGGTGCAGGGCAGGGGTGCAGAGCAGGGCAGGGGTGAAGGGCCAGGGTGCAGGGCAGGGCAGGGGTGAAGGGCCAGGGTGCAGGGCAGGGCGGGTGAAGGGCCAGGGTGCAGGGCAGGGCAAGGGTGCAGGGCACAGGGCAGGGCAGGGGCGCAGGGCAGGGCAGGGGTGCAGGGCAGGGGTGCAGGGTGCAGGGCCAGGGCACAGAGCAGGGACCAGGGTGCAGGGCCAGGGGTGCAGGGCAGGGGTGCAGGGTGCAGGGCCAGGGCACGGAGCAGGGACCAGGGTGCAGGGCCAGGCTGAGGCACAGGCTGGGAGCATCTCTCCCTCGGGCACGGCTGGGCCTGGGGGACGAGGTCCTGGCCTCTTCATTGGATCCCTCCCTTGTGCGTCAGTGACAGGCGAAGGGGACTGAGGGGCGGGCACCTTTCTCAGGGGTGTCCTCTCTCTCGAAGGGAGGTGGGTTCCGTGGGTCACACTCTGTGAAAACAGGTCGCACAGTACCCAGGAGACCGGGGCGTCACACTGTGTAGGGCTTACATCTCAACTTCCAAAGGTAGTTTTTAAAAATATTCTTTTATTGATGTCAGGGAGGGTGAGGGAGAGAGACGGAAACATCCATGATGAGAGTGAATCATGGACCGGCTGCCTCCGGCATGCCCCCCAGGGGGTCAGGGCACATGCCTCCTTCCGGCTCCCTCCCCAGCAGGGGGCGCACAGCTAGGCAGCCAGTCCATGATTCTCTCATCAGTGCTGTTTCCATCTCTATCTCCCTCTCCCTTGAAATCAATAAGATCCACAAAAACATTATTTTTTTTTTAAGAGAAAGAAAATAGCCACTAGTACTTTCAAGAAAATGATGGTGATGAGAATGCAAAGCCACATGAGATGGACTGAACAACTGAAGGGTCATAGCAGAAGGGAAGGTTAAGGGGTTGGAAGAGAGTTCAGTAGAAACCATCCTATAGAATAAAAGCCTAACATGCTAAGTGTCCGGTCGACCCGTCGGCCATTCAACCAATCAAAGGGCGATATGCTAATGATATGCTAATGCCGCCCAACTGCTCGCTATGACGTGCACTGACCCCAGGGGGCAGATGCTCTGACCAGGTAGGTTAGCTTGCTGCTGGGGTCCGGCCGATTGGGACTGAGTGAGACGGGTCAGACACACCCTGGAGCCCATCCCACGGTCCCTCCCCAGCCCTGATCGTGCAGGAGTGGGGTCCCTCGGCCTGGCCTGCGCCCTCCTGCAATCTGGGACCCCTCGAGGGATGTCGAGAGCGGGTTTCGGCCTGATCCCGCAGGCCAGGCCGAGGGACCCCACTGCTGCACCAATTTGTGCACCGGGCCTCTCGTAGGAGAAGATAAAAAACAGAGAAGACAGTAGGGTGCCTGTTTAGGGTGCGAGTCCCTGAGCAGACACTGCCACGGAGGACCCAGCGTCTCAGGTGCGAGCAGGAGCTGTCTCCGGCTCCCTGGGTCAGGAAGGCCTTGGAGGTGCCTGAGGGCTGCCGGGGGGCGAGGGCTCCTCCCGCCCGTGGACCGACAGCCCCCGTCTCCCCCCAGAATGAGCGGGAGCAGATCATGACCACCAACGTCTGGCTGAAGCAGGTAAGAGCCCCAGGGTGCCCGCTGGGGGGGGGGGGCGCTCCAGGGTTGCCGTGGGCGACAAGGGCCTGTGGTGACGGGGCCCCCCGCCCGCCCGCCCCCCAGGAGTGGACGGACTACCGCCTGGCCTGGAACAGCTCCCGCTACGAGGGAGTGAGCATCCTGCGGATCCCCGCCAAGCGCCTGTGGCTGCCCGACATTGTGCTCTACAACAAGTGAGTGGCCAGGGGGGCGGGGGGGAGGGCCTGGGGGGAGGGTGGCCAGACCTCCGGGTCCTCCAGGCCCCCGCGTCCAGCCCGAACCCCGTCTGTGCTACACCCCGGCTTCCTCGCTGTCACGCTAGTGGAGGAATAATTTTATTTTTTTAAAAATATATTTTATTGCCGAAACCGGTTTGGCTCAATGGATAGAGCGTTGGCTTGGGGACTGAAGGGTCCCGGGTTCGATTCCGGTCAAGGGCATGGACCTTGGTTGCGGGCATATCCCCGGTAGGGGGTGTGCAAGAGGCAGCTGATCGATGACTCTCTCTCATCGATGTTTCTGACTTTCTCTCTCCCTTCCTCTCTGTAAAAAATCAATAAAATATATTTTTTTAAAAATTATATATATATATATATATTTTATTGATTTTTTTACAGAGAGGAAGGGAGAGGGATAGAGAGCTAGAAACGTCGATGAGAGAGAAACATCGACCAGCTGCCTCCTGCACACCCCCTACCCGGGATGTGCCCGCAACCAAGGTACATGCCCTTGACCGGAATCGAACCCGGGACCTTTCAGTCCGCAGACCGACGCTCTATCCACTGAGCCAAACCGGCTTCGGCTATTTTTTAATATTAATTTTTAAAATATACTAGAGGCCCGGTCCACAAAATTCATGCACGGGTGAGAGGGGTGCGTCTGTCAGCCCAGCCTGCAACCTTTCCAGTCTGGGACACCACTGGGATCGGGCCTAAACGGGCAGTCGGAGATCCCTCTCACAAGCCAGGACTGCTGGCTCCCAACCGCTCACCTACCTGCCAGCCTGATTACCTCCTAACAGCCTCTGCCTGCCAGCCTGATTGACACCTAACTGCTCCCCTGCCGGCCTAATTGCCCCTAACTGCCCTCCCCCGCTGGCCCAGTCACCCCCAACTGCTCCCCTGCCAGCCTGGTCACCCCTAATTGCCCTCCACTTCCGACCTGGTCACCCCCAACTGCCCTCCCCTGCCTGCCATCTTCTGGTGGCCATCTTGTGTCCACATGGGGGTGGGTGGCCATTTTTTATCACATGAGGGGCCATCTTGTGTGTTGGAGTTGACGGTCAATTTGCATATCACTCTTTTATTAGATAGAATTGCTTTTCAAAATATACGTATGTTTTTAATCATTTCAGAGAGGAAGAAAGAGGGAGAGACATCCCTGATGAGAGAGGATCATGGATCAGCTGCCTCCTGCATGCCCTCTACTGGGGATCAAGCCCACTTGTGCCCTGAGTGGGAATTGAACCCTGACCTCCCAGTTCGTGGGTCGATGCCCAACCACTGGGCTAAGCAGGCTGGGCTGGAGGAGGAATTAGAGAGGAGCCCAGCAAGTGCCCTCAGCTACAGACAGGGGGCAGACGGGAAACTGGAGGCCCCGCTGTGCCCAGGCCCAGCCCCATGACCCCCTTTTTTTCATCTGCACCTGAGAATATGTTTCCACTGATTTTAGAGAGAGTGGGGGGGGGGAGAGAAACATCAACATGAGAGAGAGACATCGATGGGTTGCCTCCTGCACGCTCCCCACCAGGAGCCCTTGATCAGAATCGAACCCAGGACGCTTTGGTCCGCAGGCCGACGCTCTACCCACTGAGCCACAGTGGCTGGGGCCACGGCTCTTGCTGACCCTCCGCTGCTTGGCCGGTGTTGGGTGCTGGTGGCAGCACTGACATCGGTGGGTCCATGTCTCCGGCAGGCGGAGGGATGGTAGGGACTCCGGTAGAAACGGTTAGGAGGGCAGACCTCAGCGGTTCTTTTTTTTTTAATATATATTTTATTGATTTTTTACAGAGAGGAAGAGAGAGGGATAGAGAGTTAGAAACATCGATGAGAGAGAAACATCCATCAGCTGCCTCTTGCACACCCCCACCTGGGGATGTGCCCGCAACCAAGGTACACACATGCCCTTGACCGGAATCGAACCCGGGACCCTTCAGTCCGCAGGACCGACGCCCTATCCACTGAGCCACACCGGTTTCAGCCCTCAGTGGTTCTGCATACCAGGTTCCTGACCTTGAAGCAGTAGCCTCTTCACTGCGGGGCCTCGGTCTTCCCATCTGTGCAATGGGTATAACATATGACGACCAGACGTCCCGCTTTTGGTGGGACAGTCCCGATTTTCAACAATTTGTCCCGTGGGACTTTTTTAAAACTCCACGGGATGCAGGACAAAATCGGGACGTCTGGCCGGGACTGGTGTGGCTCAGTGGATAGAGTGTCGGCCTGTGGACTGAAAGTCCTGGGTTCGATTCCGGTCAAGGGCATGGACCTTGGTTGCGGGCACATCCCCAGTAGGGGGTGTGCAAGAGGCAGCTGATCGATGATTCTCTCTCTCATCGATGTTTCTAGTAACTCTATCCCTCTCTCTTCCTCTGTGAAAAACCAATAAAATATATTAAAAAAAAAAAAAAAGAATTTCAGGTTGTATCTGCAAATAGGATTCAGACAAGAGATGAAAAGTTAAAAAAAAAAAAAAGTATTAAAAACAAAACAAAACAAAACAATGCCGAAACCGGTTTGGCTCAGCGGTAGAGCGCCGGCCTGCAGACTGAAAGGTCCCGGGTTTGATTCCGGTCAAGGGCATGGACCTTGGTTGCGGGCACATCCCCGGTAGGGGGTGTGCAGGAGGCAGCTGATGGATGATTCTCTCTCATCGATGTTTCTAGCTCTCTCTCTCTCTCCCTTCCTCTCTGTAAAATATCAATAAAATATATTTTTTTTAAAAAAACAAAAACAAGTCTTCCCAGGGCGGGCCTGGGCGTGGGAGTGGGGGGCGGGGTGCCCCGTGGGCGCCATCCGCAGGGTCCCGGCTGCATCCTCACGGCCTGTCCCCCCCCCCCCCCCCCCCCCCCCCCCCGCAGCGCCGACGGGACCTACGAGGTGTCGCTGTACACGAACGCGGTGGTGTGGGCCAACGGCACCATCATGTGGCTGCCGCCCGCCATCTGCAAGAGCACCTGCAAGATCGAGGTGCGCCACTTCCCCTTCGACCAGCAGAACTGCAGCCTCAAGTTCCGCTCCTGGACCTACGACCACACGGAGATCGACATGGTGCTCAAGACGCCGTCGGCCAACCGCGACGACTTCACGCCGAGCGGCGAGTGGGACATCCTGGCGCTGCCGGGCCGCCGCACCGTGGACCCGGGCGACCCGCGCTACGTCGACGTGACGTACGACTTCGTCATCCGCCGGAAGCCGCTCTTCTACACCATCAACATCCTCGTGCCCTGCGTGCTCATCACCTCGCTGGCCATCCTGGTCTTCTACCTGCCCTCCGACTGCGGCGAGAAGATGACGCTGTGCATCTCGGTGCTGCTGGCGCTCACCGTCTTCCTGCTGCTCATCTCCAAGATCGTGCCGCCCACCTCGCTGGACGTGCCGCTCATCGGCAAGTACCTCATGTTCACCATGGTGCTCGTCACCTTCTCCATCGTCACCAGCGTGTGCGTGCTCAACGTGCACCACCGCGGGCCCGGCACGCACACCATGGCGCCCTGGGTGCAGCGCTGCTTCCTGCACCGGCTGCCCGCCTTCCTCTTCATGAAGCGGCCCCAGGGCGGCGGCGGTCCGGCCAGGCCCGCGAAGCTGCCCCGCCGCCCGGAGGGTCCTTCCGGCTCCCCGTACTTCGTGAACTCGGAAGCAGAGGCCGCCCACAAGGCCGCCGCCGCCGCTGCTGCTGACCTCGGGGACTTCCGACTTCCGGCTTCCGGCGGCAGGTTCCGGCGGGACGTGCAGGAGGCGCTGGAGGGCGTGAGCTTCATCGCGAGGCACATGAGGAGCGACGACCAGGACCAGAGCGTAAGTGATGGAGCTCAGAGGACACTGCCCGGCCCCCCATGGGGCATTCCTGAGGGACCAGCGCCCCTGCCCCAATAATGCCATAAGGGACGTGTGCACAGGTGACCTGGAGGCTGCCTTAGCCGGAAATCTGACACGCACGCCCCTAGGTACTTAATTAATAATCCACTGAGCAGACATCACACAGGAGACACACATGCAATGCACGAGGCACTCACGGTTTAGTTGCCAGAGTCCTGGTGGGCTCCTGAATTCTAGGCAGGCCACCCGGGGATCCACACTGACAGACACACACACACACACACACACACACACACACACACGGTTCACGGAGGACGTTGCAGCTGCAGCTCGGCTGGCGTTGAGGCGTCTCACAGCGGCTCACGGTCCGAGGCTCAGGCAGAGCTTTGACGGGTGCAGGCAGGGGAAGTGGGGAGCGACCCTCTGTGGAGGAGCAGCAGGGATGTCTCTGATCTCCTATGGAGCTTCCTCTTTGTGTGTGTCTTCAGGGCTCAGAGGTGTCTTCCGTGTGTCTTACCGGCGGGTCCCGGGACACAGATCACTTTATCTGTTTCCTACATGCAGGTCCCTCAAGGGTGCTTATCAGTTAGTTTACATTCCAGTCCGTACTTTCAGATATCACACTTCCAATTCCACACTTCAGTACTTATTCAATATTATATTTATCCTTGTTACTATTATTATAACAGCCCCCAAACACTTCGCTGGGATAAGGAACTCCAAGGGAACACGAGTATGATGACAGCATCACGCACCCGGGGAGAGGGAGGGAGGGATGGCCCTCGGTCTCTTTTGTTTGCTCTGGGCTCCCTGAGAGCAGAGGCGAAGATGAGGACCCAGGCAGCCCTGGCTGGTGTGGCTCAGTGGGTGGAGTGTCAGCCCGCAGACGGAAGGGTCCCGGGTCCGATTCTGGTCAAGGGCATGGACCTCAGTTGCAGGCTTGATCCCTCTCCCTGGTCAGGCAACCCATGGATGTGTCTTGCTCACATCAGTGTTTCTCTCTCTCTCTCTCTCTCTGTCTTTCAATTTGAGAGGCCAGCATGCTAACCACTGAGCAAACTTGCCAGGGCTCCAGTAACAGGATTTTTTTTTTAGTGTTTTGTGTCTTTTTTATTTTATATATTTGTATTGCTTTCAGAAAGGAAGGGAGAGGGCGATAGAAACATCCATGATGAGAGAGAATCACGGATCGGCTGCCTCCTGCACGCCCCACACTGGGGATCTAGCCCACAACCTGGGCATGTGCCCTTGACCGGAATCGAACCCAGGACCCTTCAGTCTGCAGGCCAAAGCTCTTATCCACTGAGCCAGCCAGCTAGGACTAGGCCTTGCATTTTATACTTTGATGGTGCTTGCTTTCTTTTTTTAATCCTCAATTGAGGACATGTTTCCATTGACTATTTTTTTTTAATTTTTTAAAATATATTTTATTGATTTTTTACAGAGAGGAAAGGAGAGAGATAGAGAGTTAGAAACATTGATGAGAGAGAAACACCGACCAGCTGCCTCCTGCACACCCCCTACTAGGGATGTGCCCGCAACCAATGTGCATGCCCTTGACCGGAATCGAACCTGGGACCTTTCATTCCGCAGACCGACGCTCTATCCACTGAGCCACACTGGTTTCGGCTCCATTGACTAATTTTTTTAGAGACAGTGGAGGGGAGGCAGGGAGAGAGAGAGAAAGAGAGAGGTTGATGGGAGAGACAACACATTGATGGGTTGCCTCCTGCACCTGCCCCCACCGGGGCTGGGGAACCTGCAACCGGGGTCCGCGCCCCATGACCAGGAATCAGACCCACCAGCCTCCGGTCTACGGGCCGACGCGCCAACCACTGGGCAAAGCTGTCGAGGCTTCCTTTTTTTTTTTTTTTTTTTTACAAACTCTGTTTTTATTGGTTTTAAAGAGTACGGGAGGGAGAGATAGAAACATCAATGAGCCAAAACCAGTTTGACTCGGTGGATAGAGCGTCAGCCTGCGTACTCAATGGTCCCAGGTTCGATTCCCGGCCAAGGGCATGGACCTTGGTTGCAGGCACATCCCCAGTGGGGAGTGTGCAGGAGGCAGCTGATGGATGTTTCTCTCTCATCGATGTTTCTAGCTCTGTATCTCTCTCTCTTCCTCTCTGTAAAAAAAATCAATAAAACATTAAAAAAAAAAAAAAAGAAAGAAACATTGATGAGAGAGAACATCAGCAGGCTGCCTCCTGCACCCCCTCCCCCCGTTACTGGGCATCTGGCCCGCATCCTGGGCATGTGCCCTGACCGTGAGTCGAACCCGGTGACCCCCGGGTTCATGAGTCGACGCTCAAAACGCTGAGCCGTGGCGGCCAGCTGGCACCCATCCCGAGCGTTCTGCTAACGGGCTCCCCGCCCGCTTGGCACGCCCTGGCCGCCTGCTGTTCCTAAGCCCATTCATCGAGAGTCTCTTCAGGGAAGAACACAGGCGGATCCCCGGCTATTACACCCACCCGTGCTCACCGGGCTCCAGCCACACGCGTGGGGTCTCTGCCGGGCCCTGGCGGCATCACCGCCGGCCCTCCCAGGGGCCTGTGATGTGGCGTTTCCTCGAAGCCTCCTTTTCCTCGGGAAGGCTGTGGCCCAGAGAGGGTTGGCGACTGGCTCAGGGTCACACAGCCGGCCCAGAGCAGAGCAAGCTCCGTCCCCAGAGCTTCCGGACGCTATTGGTGCCCCTGGGTGGGCGGCCATTCGTGCCGGGGTTCTTGTCCCAGCATTACGAAAGGGTTCGGCAATCTGGAGAAAGCAGTTGCGTGCAGATTCGATAAGGAGTCCAAAGACGAAAGATGGTTTTTAAGAATATATATTTCATTGTTTTTTTTTGTGTTTTTTTTTTTTTTTACAGAGAAGAATGGAGAGGGAGAGGGAGATAGAAACATTCATGATGAGAGAGAAACATCCATCAGCTGCCTCCTGCGCACCCCCTACTGGGGATGTGCCCGCAACCAAGGTCCATGCCCTTGACCGGAATCAAACCTGGAACCCTTCAGTCCGCAGGCCGACGCTCTGTCCACTGAGCCAAGCTGGTCAGGGTGGAAGATAGTTTTGAAAGGCATTGGGGGGTCAGAGGAGCTTCCGCTAAAGGAGCTGAAGACTCTCTCCTGGTCTCAGGACCCCTTGCTTTTTATTAACACAATTTGTCTTAAGGCAAGGTGGAGATAAGACCCTTCAGAGGGTAGGGTTTACAGAAGCATTGTCAGATGGGGGAATGGTATACAGCTATTCAGGTGTCTGGCCAACAGGGGGCAGTAACACGCAGATGGAGATGCCCTGAGCTGTCTGGCAGCAGACAATCAGGTTTGGGGGAAGTGCTGTAGCCGTTCTAACACGTAATTACATGGGAGGCTCAGCCCTTGTTGAGCCCCCCACGCTTCACCAACCTTCGGATGAAACTCTTGTAACTATGACTTGCTGGAAATGGCGAATGGAGCTAAAGACTCTCTCTTTGTCTCAGGACCCCTTGCTTTTTATTAGCACAATTTGTCCTAAGGCAAGGTGGAGATAAGACCCTTCAGAGGGTAGGGTTTCGTACAGAATCTATTGTAAGATTGGGGAATGGCCTTCGGCTGTTCAGGTGTCTGGCCAACAGGGGGCAGTAACACGCAGATGGAGATGCCCTGAGCTGTCTGGCAGCAAACAGCCATCCTATTCAGGTTTGGGGGAAGTGCCGTAGCTGTTCTAACAGGTAATTACATGGGAGGCTCAGCCCTTGTTGAGTCCCCCAAGCTTCACCAAGCTTTGGATGAAACTCTTGGACTCATGACACGCTGGAATCGGCTCCTGGCAGGCAGGACGTTCCTGACTGGCTTTCCCGGCACTGAGATCGGGATGGGCTTGGCTGGTCCGCTTTCCCGCGTCCAGCTGTCTTCCCTTCGGGACATGCCGGCCCCACGCAGTCGGGCTGTTTCCAACCCTCAGCTCTCACCCTCCTCGTGACTAACCAGACATTGTGATAGTACAACATTTTTGTTTTTTAAATATTTTTATTGGTTTCAGAGAGAGCTAGAAACATCAACGAGAGGAATCACTGATCGGCTGCCTCCTGCACGCCCCCCACTAGGGATCAAGCCTACAACCCAGGCCTGTGCCCTTGGCTGGAATCGAACCCGGGACCCTTCAGCCCGCAGGCCAACGCTCTATCCACTGAGCCACACCAGCTAGGGCAACAGTGCAATGTTTTTCTTTTTTTTATCTTTTAAAGAGAGAGAGGCACGCACCCCCCCCCCCCCAGTATGCTGTCTGAAAGTGGGGCTGCCCAACCGCCACCCCAGAAAGCCGAGGGGGCTGTGTGCGCGGAGAGCCTCGGGGTGCCTGCTGGCCCCGGGAGCTGGGATGCGGGGCTGGCTGCCATGGGATCATCCAGGGTGAGCACACGCCGTGGACCGGGGGAGAAGGGGGAGGCTGACAAACGGGGTCACTGACCGGCCCGCACATCCAGCTCGAGCCCCGCTCCCCCTTCCCCCCCAGGGAGAGAGTGCCGGGGACTCAGAGGGGCCGGGACGTGAGCACGGGCGTGCGGGAGGGAGGCCAGGAGGCTGGGGCTCGCTGGGGGCACCCCCACTCACCCCACCACCCGGCAAAGGAAGCAGGCACATGTATGGGGGCCAGCCAGGTGCCTGCTGACTCCACTCCTGGCTCTGAGAGAGAGAGAGAGGGGGGGAGAGAGAGAGAGAGAGAGAGAGAGAGAGAGAGAGAGAGAGAGAGAGAGAGGGAGGGAGAGAAAGAGAGAGAGAGAGAGGGAGGGAGGGAGGGAGGGAGGGAGAGAGAGAGAGAGAGAGAGAGAGAGAGAGAGGAGATGACACAATAGGAGGCTGCGTCTCCGTTACAAGGACTCACAAACGCTGCTGTTACCAGAACCGAGCAAATTCAATGCCAGCATTTCCAAGTGCCCTGCTGTCCCCCATGCGCACCCCACTCCCCAAGGGGGCCCCAAAGCTAGCCATGGGCGGCGCCCGCTCGGGAGGCTCGGGGTGACGCTAAGAGAAAGGCCTTGCCGAAACCGGTGTGGCTCAGTGGATAGAGTGTCGGCCTGCGGACCGAAGGGTCCCGGGTTCGATTCCGGTCAAGGGCATGGACCCTGGTTGTGGGCACATCCCCGGTGGGGGGGGTGGTGTGTGCAGTAGGCAGCTGATGGATGTTTCTCTCTCATTGATGATTCTAACTATCTCTCTCCCTTTCTCACTGTAAAAAAAATCAATAAAATATATTAAAAAAAGAAAGCAGAATAACCGTGTAAAAAAAAGAGAGAGAGAGAAAGGCCTTGTCCCCCTACACACATGCAGGTCCGGTTTCCAAGGACACCCCTAATCTCCCCCGCAGCCCGAGGGCCGGCGACTGCCACGCCACGGGGGCAGGCGGGCGGGCAGACCGCCTGCGAGGCCCGGGCGTGCCCAGAAGGTGCCACCCAGGTCCCCAGGGGTCCGTGGGGTCCGGACGGGATCGTGAGGGCCCAGCGCCGGGCCGGGGAGGGCGGGGAGGACTCCGGGCCCCCCCCCCCCCCGCCCGCCCGCATGACCCGCCTCTGTCGCCCGCAGGTGGTGGAGGACTGGAAGTACGTGGCCATGGTGGTGGACCGGCTGTTCCTGTGGGTGTTCGTGGTCGTGTGCGTGCTGGGCACGGTGGGCCTCTTCCTGCCCCCCCTCTTCCAGAACCACACGGTCCCAGGGGGGCCCTAGGCCGCCCTGTGTGTCCCGGGGCCCTCCCCCACCCCCCGTCGCCTGGGTTGTGGGGTGAGATGACGGGAGGGGCCCAGGGGGAAGTTCGGCTGTTTCCTTCTGGATTGGAGCACCGAGGCCCAAAAGTCAAACAGCCAGGGCGTGGGAGGGCCGAGCCGGGACCCAGGAAAGCCCAGCCGGAGGGGCCAGGCTGCATTCTGGCCGGTCTTCCCTAACCAGGACAGGGACGGGCACCATAGCAGCACCCACTATGTGCCAGTCACCTACTATGTGCCCGTCCCCTTACCTCCCTGCCCCGGTCTCCCTCCGCTCCCCCTGGGCCCCGAGGCCCACCGGCGTGCTCTGTCCCTCACGCACTTCAGGATCCTTCCCAGCTCCGAGCCTGTCCCTACGGGGCCTTCGACCCCACCCTCCCCTCACCTTCTCTCCCCCGCTCTTCCCCTGCTGCATCCAGGACTCCGATCCACCCCGTGTGTCCCTGTCCCCTACCCCAGAGGTCTTGCCCAGGCCCCCATCCTGGAGCCTCCCCCCGTCCCGGGGGCCACGGCGCCCGCCACCCTCCCCCAGCGCCCCGCAGCTCCTGAGGGCCTTACTGGCGGGCGTGTGTATGGCCCACGTCCAGCCGTCAGAGGGCCAGCTCCGTGAGAGCAGGGCACAATAAAAGCACATTGAAAGAAGGGATGAGTGAATGAACGAAGGCTCCTGTTCCTCCCGCAGGCCGCCCCAGGGCCCCCCCCACGGCGGGAGGCCTCCCTCCCTCGCCCTCCACCGCCCAAGGTCCCTCACGCTCTGTCGTCAGCAGTTTCGGCCATCTCCCTCACGGACGCTCTGTCGCCACCACGTACTGCTTTTTTCCCAGTCCCCGGTGCACACAGTAGGCGCTCAAGATCTTTGTAGAAGGAAGGATAACTTTATTTAAATTCTATTTTTTTACATATATATTTTATTGATTTTTTTTTTTTTTTATACAGAGAAAGGGAGAAAGATAAGAGAGTTAGAAACATGGATGAGAGAGAGACATCCATCAGCTGCCTCCTGCACGCCCCCCACTGGGGATGTGCCTGCAACCAAGGTCCATGCCCTTGATTGGAATTGAACTCGGGACCCGTCAGTCCACAGGCTGACGCTCTATCCGCTGAGCCAAATCGGTCAGAGCTAAATTCCTTTTTTTTTTTTTTTTTTTTTAAATGATAGAGTTCTAGCCCAGTCGGTGTGGTTCAGTGGTCGACCTCTGAACCAGGAGGTCACTGGTTTGATTCCCAGTCAGGGCACATGTCTGGGCTGTGGGCTCCATCCCCAGTGTAGGGCGCGCAGGAGGCAGCCGATCCATGATTCTCATCATTGATGTTACCTTCTCTCCGTCTCCCTTCCTCTCTGAATCAAAAAATGAAAATGACACAGTTTTAGAAACACACACACACACAAATCTCCTCTTGGCCAGTTAAATACATTTCTTGACACATGTCTTGGTTTGTGTAATCGGAATATAGGAGGCTCATTATAAATAACTAGAGGCCTGGTGCAAGAATTGGTGCACCAGTGGGGTGCCTCAGCCTGACCTGCAGAATCCGGCCGAAACCTGCTCGGCATCCCCCGAGGAGTCCTGGATCGCAAGAGAGTGCAGGCCAGGCCGAGGGACCCCACCGGTGCACAACTGTGGCTGGGGAGGGATGCAGGAGGTTGGCCAGCCAGGGAGGGACTGCGGGAGGGCTCCAGGGTGTGTCCGGCCCATCTCGCTCAGTCCCCATTGCCCAGACCCCAGCAGCAAGCTAACCTACCGGTCAGAGCATCTGCACCCTGGTGGTCAGTGCACGTCACAGTGAGCGGATGAGCGGCCTTAGCATATCATTAGCATACTGGAGGCCTGGTGCATTAAAATTCATGCACTGGAGGGGGGTCCCTCAGTCTGCCCTGCCCCCTCTCAGTCCAGGAGCCCTCAGGGGCGGGAGGCGACCTGGCGATCAGGGGAGGGTGACGCCCCGTCACACCTCTGCTGCTGCCACTGCCGGGAGCGCCAGCCTCGGCCGGCCCCAGTTAGCTGAGCCTTGGGCAGCCCAGGGTGGCTGGGCAGCGGACATCTGAGGCTTGCCTGGGCCTCGGGCTGGCTCTGGGGGGTTGGGGGCTGAGGGGCAGGCGGGCAGGCCTGGCCTTGCCGCTCGCTTGCCACCCCATGGGGCTGAAGGGACAGGGCACCATCATCTTTGAGGGCGTGACAGCCAATTAGCATACTCCCTCCTCATTGGCTGTGGGTGCTGCCATCTTTGCAACAGCATAAGGGTCCATTAGCATATTCCCTCTTTATTAGATGGAATTACGCTCTGATTGGTTGAACAGACGACGGGACACTTAGCATATTAGGCTTTTTATTCTATAGGATCCCTCCTCGGTGCTCTCCCTTAGGGTTAAGGCTAGGGTTAGGGCTACGGTTTGGGTTAGGGCTGGGGTTTGGGTTAGGGTGAGGGCTAGGGCGAGGGCGAGGGCTAGGGCTAGGGCTAGGGTTAGGTTAGGGTTAGAGCTAGGGCTAGGGTTAGGGCTAGGGCTAGGTTTAGGTTTAGGGAATATTGTTTTTCACCTCTGTTATAGTGTTTAACGCTCCATTTCAGTGAAGTGTAAGGGTTTCCAAATCTGCTTAATTATGCTCATTTCTACATTTCAAGGATATTCTGCCTTGTATGACACACATTTACAATTCTAGGCTCCTTTAAGTAAATAATAGAGGTTTCATACACTGTTTAATGAGCTCTTTAGTATAATTAAGGATTTCCTGGATCTTAGATAACTTCTCTACCCTAACAACAGACTTGGAGAAGTGTTTTATACATGTTCTATGCGAGTTCTCATCTATTTACTGTTATTTTCCCTGAATTACTGATATTTTCTTGTAGTTTCCAACATTAGGCCTTCTTGTCAAAGTATAAACATTGGCAACATGGACAAACAACTACCTAAACACTGTTATGAACCTGAAAAAGCTGGGGAACATTGTCTCTCAAGTATGTTTTAGAGGTTAATGCTACATATCAGTGAAGTCTAAGGCTTTCCAAAGCTGCCTAATTGTGCTTATTTCTCTCTTTCAAGCCTTCTGTGACACATATTTCAAGTTCTAGGCTACTTTAATAAAAGATTTCATACACTGTTTAATGTGCTCTTACGTTTAATTACAGATTTCCTGGATCTTAGATTCTTTTTTTCCACTAACAACTGACTTGGGAAATCTGTTTCAGCTGTTCTATACGAGGTCTCATCTATTCACTGTTAATTTCTCTGTATTACTCATGTTTTCTGGTAGTTCCATATATCAGGCCAGCCCCCGGCAGCCGCCCCTCTTTCTCCATCACGTGCTCTAGTCTAGTCTGCACGCTATTTACACACATCACAGTACGGGACCCCCGCTCGCTCACGTCAGGTCTTTGAGACTCGTCCACGTCGCCAAGGCCACCAATCTTTTGTTCCTTGGTCATGTGGGTGTTGTACACGTTGAGGCTGCAACCAGTTTGGGGCAATTATGCACAGAGCTGTGTTTTTTTGTTTTAATGTACTGATTTTTTACAGAGAGGGATAGAGAGTTAGAATCACCAATGAGAGAGAAACATCCATCGGCTGCCTCCTGCACGCCCCCCACCGGGGATGTGCCCTCAACCAAGGTCCATGCCCTTGACCGGAATCGAACCCGGGACCCGTCAGTCTGCAGGCCGACGCTCTATCCACTGAGCACACCGGCTTCGGCTTATTTTATTTTTAAAAAAAATACATTTTATTGATTTTTTTACAGAGAGGGATAGATAGAAACATGGACCAGCTGCCTCCTGCACATACCGCCCCCCCCCCCTGGGGATGTGCCCCCCCAACCAAGGCACATGGCCTGGGCGGGAATCGAACCCGGGACCCTTCAGTCGCAAAGCCGAAGCTCTATCCAGTGAACCAAACCGGTTATGGCAAGAGTGTATTTTTTAAAAACCACAAAAACCAAGTAGCATGCTCTCACCTCCTGTATTTCACACTTACTTCACCGCGCCCGAATCCTGCGGCCTCCTCCGGGGTGCGGGGGTCCCGGCGGGCCGTTCCCAGGTGCGGCGCGGCCGGAGGAGGGAACCAGGGTGCGCCCTCCGGCCCGCGCGGCCCAGCGCCCGGCGGCGGGGCGGGGCGGGGCCGGAGGGCGGGGCCGGCGGGGCGGGGCGGGGCCGGCGGGGCGGGGCCGGCGGGCGGGGCCGGCGGGCGGGGCGGGGCCGGCGGGCGGGGCGGGGCCGGCGGGCGGGGCCGGCGGGCGGGGCGGGGCCGGCGGGGCCCGCTCCGATTGGCTGCGCGGCCGCCGGGTCCCGCTCCGATTGGCCGGCGCGGCCGCCTCCCACACCAGCCCCGGCGCCTCCCGGGAGGAGCGCCCACCGGCTCCGGGCGCGGCGGGCGGCGGCTGCAGAGACCGGAGTCCGCGCTCCCGCCTTTGTCCCCTCCGAGCGGCCGGCGCGGGAGCCCCGCGGGCGAGGCCGCCGCCGCCGGAGTCCGCTCCGCCCTCGGGGCCCCGGGCCGCCAGGCGCACGGCCATGGGCGCCCCCACGCGCGGGGCGCACCCCCTGCTGCTGCTGCTGCTGCTGCTGCTGCCGCCGCTGCTCCCCGGTAAGCGCGGGGGTGGGGGGCGAACAGGCGCCCCGAGAGGCGATGCGGGTCCGGGCGGGGCTGCCGGGAGGGTTTGGGGGGGCGGGACAGACAGGCGAGGTGGCCGTTTGCTCAGAGCCGCCTGGACGCTGAGGCCCCACCGCTCAGAGCGCCCTGCACCCCCTCCCCCAGCTCCTGAGCCCCCGCACCCCGTCCCCTTTCATTGGGGGGAGGGGGGGGGGGACGGGAAGGGAGCTGGAAGGATCGCATTTCTATTTTTTTTAAATATATATATTTTATTGATTTTTTTTTACAGAGAGGAAGAGAGAGGGATAGAGAGCTAGAAACATCCATGAGAGAGAAACATGGACCAGCTGCCTCGTACACACCCTCCACTTGGGGATGTGCCCTTGACCGGATTCGAACCTGGGACCCCTCAGTCCACAGGCCGACGCTCTATCCGCTGAGTCAAACCGGGTTTCGGCTGGATCCCATTTCTAGACCTGGAGAAACCGGGACTTCACCAGGGGTTCCCCTCATCTTCCCCCCCAATCCTAACGCCTGGGGTGGCCCTGGCCGGTTTGGCTCAGTGGACAGAGCTGTGGGGGACCAAAGGGTCCTGGGCACTCTGGATGCATGCCAGAGGCAAACAGTCCACCCTCACATTGATGTTTCTCGTACTCTCCCCCCCCCTTCTCTTCCTCTCTCTCTCTCTAAAAATCAACGGGAAAACATCCTGGGATGTAAAGGGGTCCCCAAGGGTTTCGGAGGGTTTGGGTCTCCGATCAGGATGTGAAGGGGCCTCCGCAGGAACCCTGGCTCACCCTCTGAGACCCACGGAGCCATGGGTGGGTGCCCAACTGACAGGGTCCCGCTGGGATGGCAGGGAGCCCCGGGCCTGGGCTGCGCCTCCCCCTGGGCGGCTGGGCGCCTGGAAGGCGGCCCCGGGTCACCTCCATCCCGAACCCGATGACAGGGGCTGTACCTGCCCCATAGCAACAGCGCGGAGAAGGGGTGCACCTGGGCTCTGGCCCTACGCCGGCACCGAGCGGGGCCCCTGCCGGAAGCCGGTTCCAGCGTGTCATCATTGCAAGAGTTTCATCGAAAGGTGGATGGAACTTGGGGGCTCAACAAGGGCTGAGCCATATATGTGGTCACCTGTCGGGGCAGCTGAACGGCACTTCCCCCAAACCTGAATAGGATGGCTGTCTGCTGCCAGACAGCTCAGGGCATCTCCATCTGCGTGCTACTGCCCCCTGTTGGCCAGACTCCTGAGCAGCTGTAGGCCGTTCCCCCATCTGACAATGCTTCTGTATAAAACCCTGCCTCTGAAGGGTCTTATCTCCACCTTGCCTTAGGACTAATTGTGTTAATAAAAAGCAAGGGGTCCTGAGACAAGGAGAGAGTCTTCAGCTCCTTTAGTGGAAGCTCCTCTGACCCCCCAATGCCTTTCAAAACTATCTTTTAGTCTCTTGACTCTTATTTAATCTACGGACAGCCTTTCTCCAGATTGCTGAATCTTTCTTCTTCTTCTTTTTTTTTTTTAAAATATATTTTATCGCCGAAACCGGTTTGGCTCAGTGGTAGAGCGTCGGCCTGCGGACTGAAGGGTCCCGGGTTCGATTCCGGTCAAGGGCATGTACCTGGTTGCGGGCACACCCCCAGTAGGGGGTGTGCAGGAGGCAGCTGGTTGATGTTTCTCTCTCATCGATGTTTCTAGCTCTCTGTCCCTCTCCCTTCCTCTCTGTACAAAATCAATACTATATATATATATATATATATATATATATATATATATATATATATAATTATTTTTTTACAGAGAGGAAGGGAGAGAGACAGACACATCGATGAGAGAGAAACATCTATCAGCTGCCTCTTGCACACCCCCCACTGGGGATGTGCCAGCAACCCAGGCACATGCCCTTGACCGGAATCGAACCCGGGATCCCTTCAGTCCCCAAGCCGACGCTCTATCCACTGAGCCACACCGGTTTCGGCGCTGAGCCCTTTATAATGCTTGGACAAGAACCCTGGCAAGCCCCTCCCTCGTAACAACCCTACAAGGAGGAGAACACAAGCACAGTCTTTGTTTCCGGGGATAAAGCAGCCTAAGGTCGCCCGCTCCCAGGGAGTGCTTGCACCGGATCTACCCACACCCACACCCCAGGCTTTCGGGAACGTTCCAGCCCTGGGGGGCCCCGGCCAGGGGCGTGGGTCTAACTGGGCTCCCTCCCTCAGGGGCCCGTGGCTCCGAGGCCGAGCACCGCCTGTTCGACCGGCTGTTCGAGGATTACAACGAGATCATCCGGCCCGTGGCCAACGCCTCGGACGCCGTCATCGTGCAGTTCGAGGTGTCCATGTCCCAGCTGGTGAAGGTGGTGAGTGCGGGGCCGGGGGGCCGGGCCGGGCCGGGCCGGGGCTGTGGGGGAGGCTCTCCCCGGTGGGGCCGGGGTCCTTCACGCACCCCCACCCCCTAATTCTCCTTTCCAGGATGAGGTCAACCAGATCATGGAGACCAACCTGTGGCTCAAGCAGGTGAGTGGCCAGGCCCTGCGCTCTGCTGCCCCCTGGTGGTGACTGCTCTGCTGGCTTCCTTTCTGTAGATCCAGCCTGGATCCATTGGGGGGGCCTGGGGCACATTGAGGGGGGGCCTGGGCCCATTGAGGGGGGGCCTGGGCCCATTGAAGGGGGCCTGGGCCCATTGAGGGGGGGCCTGGGTCCATTGGGGGGAGCCTGAGTCTATAGGGGGGAGCCTGGGGCCCATTGAGGAGGAGCCTGGGCCCATTGAGGGGGGCCTGAGTCTATAGGGGGGGGCCTGGGCCTATTGGGGGGGGCCTGGGGCCCATTGGGGGGGAGCCTGGGCCCATTGAGGGGGAGCCTGGGCCCATTGAGGTGGGGCCTGGGCCCATTGAGGGGGGCCTGGGTCCATGAGGGGGGCCTGGGCCTATTGGGGGGGGCCTGGGCCCATTGAGGGGGGGCCTGGGGCCCATTGAGGGGGGCCTGAGTCTATTGGGGGGGGCCTGGGCCCGCAAACCCAGCTGTGACAGATCCGCCTGCTCCCCCTGGGTGCTCTGTGTGATGGGCACCCTGTTTGGGGGACCCGGTGGGGAAGGACGTCACTAGCATGAGCCTAGCCCGGCCGGCGGGGCTCGGGCTGAGCCTTGACCTAGGAACCAGGAGGTCAGGGTTCGATTCCCTGTCAGGGCACAGGCCTGGGTTGCAGGCTCCATCCCCAGCGTGGGGTGTGCAGGAGGCAGCTGATCCGTGATCCTCTCTCATCATGGATGTGTCTCTCTCCCTCTCCCTTCCTCCCCGAAACCAATAAAAATCTATGCTGATAAAAGGGTAATATGCAAATTGATCACGATGCCCTCACAGTAACAACCGAACAGCAGGCTGCGTGGGGCGACCAGGCCCGCAGAGGGGAGCCAGCAGAGGGGAGCATTTAGGCCGGTGGAGGCAGCAGTTGGGGGCAAGCAGGCTGGCGGGAGGGGGCAGTTAGGGGCGCTCAGGCAGGTGAGCAGTTAGGGGCCAGTGGTCTCGGATTGCGAGAGGGTCCCAGATTGGAGAGGGTCCAGGCTGGGCAGAAGGGACCCCCTCCCCACATGCACCGATTTCATGCACCAGGCCTCTAGTATATTAAAAACAAACAAACAAACAAACAAACTAAAAACAGCACACAGGGACCAGACCTGGAGGCCCTTACATGATTGACAAGGGGCGGCCCCGCCCGCCGCCCTGGGCTCTCCCCCCGTCACCCACGCGCGGCTTTGGGCCCCTGTGGTCTGCGGCGTGGAGGCGGCTCCCTGCCGCCGGGCTGGGGTGGGGCGTCGCCAGGGCGGGCGGCGTGAGGGAGTGAGCCACGCGGTCTCCTTGCTGTTTCTCCCGTGTGTGTGTGTGTGTGTGTGTGTGTGTGTGTGTGTGTCCCCCGCAGATCTGGAACGACTACAAGCTGAAGTGGAACCCCTCGGACTACGACGGGGCGCAGTTCCTGCGCGTCCCCGCCCAGAAGATCTGGAAGCCGGACATCGTGCTCTACAACAAGTAAGGGGGCGCCACCCTCCCCTGTCCCCCACGGGGCTGCTCCGCCCGCCGGCTCCTCCCACGGGCACTCCCTGAGCACCTGCTCGACCGGAATCGAACCCGGGACCCGTCCGTCCACGGGCTGGCGCTCGACCCACTGAGCCCCGCCCCACCCAGCCGCTCGGCGCCTGCAAACGCAAAGTAACGGTCCTTCTTTTGTTGGGTTAGTTTATTTGCATACTCACTCCTGATTGGCTGATGGGCACCCCAGAGGTACAGTCAATTTGCATATTTATTTTTTATTAGTGTGGATATCTTGTTTTACATATACCTTTTAAAATATATTTTATTGATTTTTAACAGAGAGGAAGAGAGAGAGATGGAGAGTTAGAAACGTCGATGAGAGAGAAACATTGGCCAGCTGCCTCTTGCACGCCCCCCACCGGGGATGTGCCCGCAACCAAGGTACATGCCCCTGGCCGGAATCGAACCTGGGACCTTTCAGTCCGCAGACAGACGCTCTATCCACTGAGCCAAACCAGCTTCGGCTACATATTACCTTTTTAGCAATTTATATCTTTTTTTATTTAATTTACTTTTTGTTATTTATTCTATTGATTTGTTAAAAATATATATTTTAATGATTTTTTTTACATCGAGGAAGGGAGAGAAAGAGGAACAGAGAGCTAGAAACATCGATGAGAGAGAAACATCGATCAGCTGCTTCCTGCACGCCCCCCACTGGGGATGTGCCGGCAACCAAGGTCCATGCCCTTGCCCGAAATCGAACCCGGGACCCTTCCGTCCACAGGCCGATGCTCTATCCACTGAGCCACACCGGTTCTGGCCGACAACATTCACCTCGTTGTTTCTCTGTCAAGGGAAAGGGCATGGGGGGGTCTCAGTGCAGCAGGTGCCGTGTGATGAGGGCATCTGAGGGCGTGTGTGGTGGGGCGACAGGAGCGGGGGGAGGAGAGGGTCCCAGGCTCCAGTGTCCCCCTCGCTCAGTGGGGGACACCCCGGCCCTCGGAGCTCACGACGTGTGTGTGTGTGTCCCGTGTGCGTGTGTGTGTGTGCTTGTGTGTGTCCCATGTGTGTGTCCCATGTGTATGTGTGTCCCGTGTGTGTCCCATGTGTGTGTCCCGTGTGTGTCCCATGTGTGTCCCATGTGTATGTGTGTCCCGTGTGTGTCCCATGTGTGTGTCCTGTGTGTGTCCCGTGTGTGCGTGTCCTCTGTGTCCTGTGTGTGCCCCGTGTGTGTCTTGTGTGTGTGTCCCATGTATGTCTCTGTGTGTGCGTCCCGTGTGTGTCCTGTGTGTGTCCTGTGTGTGTCCCATGTGTGTGTCCCGTGTGTGTTCCATGTGTGTCCCGTGTGTGTCTGTGTGTGTGGCTCGTGTGTGTGTCCTGTGTGTGTGTCTGTGTGTGTGTCTGTGTGTGTCCCATGTGTGTCCCGTGTGTGTCCTATGTGTGTCCCGTGTGTCCCATGTGTGTGTCCCGTGTGTCCCATGTGTGTGTCCCGTGTGTCCCGTGTGTCTCATGTGTGTCACGTGTGTTCCATGTGTGTGTCCCGTGTCTCGTGTGTGTGTCCCGTGTGTGTGTCCCCCGTGTGCGTGTGTGTGCGTGTGTGTCCCGTGTGTGTCCCGTGTGTGTGTCCTGTGTGTGTCCCGTGTGTGTGTCCTGTGTGTGTCCCGTGTGTGTGTCCCGTGTGTGTGTGTCCCGTGTGTGTGTCTCTTGTGTGTGTCCTGTGTGTGTCCCGTGTGTGTGTCCCGTGTGTGTGTCCCGTGTGTGTGTGTCCCGTGTGTGTGTGTCCCGTGTGTGTGTCCTGTGTGTGTGTCCCGTGTGTGTGTGTGTCCCGTGTGTGTGTGTCGTGTGTGTGTGTCCCGTGTGTGTGTCCCGTGTGTGTGTCCCATGTGTGTGTGTCCCGTGTGTGTGTCTCTTGTGTGTGTCCTGTGTGTGTTCTGTGTGTGTGTCCCGTGTGTGTGTCCCGTGTGTGTCCCGTGTGTGTGTGTGCGTGTGTGTGTCCCGTGTGTGTGCGTGCGTGTGTGTCCCATGTGTGTGTGTCCCGTGTGTGTGTGTCCCGTGTGTGTGTCCCGTGTGTGTGTCCCGTGTGTGCGTGTGTGTGCGTGTGTGTGTCCCCCGTGTGTGCGTGTGTGTGTGTGCATGCGTGTGCGTGTCCCGCCTCCGCAGCGCCGTGGGGGACTTCCAGGTGGACGACAAGACCAAGGCGCTGCTCAAGTACACGGGCGAGGTGACCTGGATCCCGCCCGCCATCTTCAAGAGCTCCTGCCGCATCGACGTGACCTTCTTCCCCTTCGACTACCAGAACTGCTCCATGAAGTTCGGCTCCTGGACCTACGACAAGGCCAAGATCGACCTGGTGCTGGTGGGCTCGGCCATGAACCTGCGGGACTACTGGGAGAGCGGCGAGTGGGCCGTGGTGCGCGCCCCCGGCTACAGGCACGAGGTCAAGTACAACTGCTGCGACGAGATCTACCCGGACATCACCTACTCGCTGTACATCCGGCGGCTGCCCCTCTTCTACACCATCAACCTCATCATCCCCTGCCTGCTCATCTCCTTCCTCACCGTGCTGGTCTTCTACCTGCCCTCCGACTGCGGCGAGAAGGTCACGCTCTGCATCTCCGTGCTGCTCTCGCTCACCGTCTTCCTGCTGGTCATCACCGAGACCATCCCGTCCACCTCGCTGGTCATCCCGCTCATCGGCGAGTACCTGCTCTTCACCATGATCTTCGTCACGCTCTCCATCGTCATCACCGTCTTCGTGCTCAACGTGCACTACCGCACGCCCGCCACGCACACCATGCCCGGCTGGGTGAAGGCCGTGTTCCTGCGGGCGCTGCCCCGGGTCATGTTCATGGCCCGGCCCGAGGCGGCGGGCGGCGGCGAGGGCGGTGAGGGTGGCGCCGGCTATGCAGCCGCCGCCGAGCGGGCCAACCTGAACTGCTTCCGCGGCGCGGAGCCCGAGGACGGGAAGGACGGCGGGCCCTGCCAGGAGGGGCTGTGCGGCCGCCACCGCCAGTGCAGCCACCGCCGCCGCCGCCACGGCAGCAGCCACCGCGCGGCGAAGGTGTCCAACTTCACCGCCAACCTCACCCGGAGCTCCAGCACCGAGTCCGTGGAGGCCGGCGCCGCGCTCTCGCTGTCCGCGCTGTCGCCCGAGGTCAAGGAGGCCATCCGGAGCGTCTGGTACATTGCAGAGAACATGAAGGCACAGAACGAGGCCAGAGAGGTGAGGGCCTCGCTCGGCGGACATACCCGCAGCGGCCGGATGACGGTGCTCTCTGAACGCGCAGTCATCCGGCCACTCCGTGTCTGTCCTATAGAATGAAAGGCTCATAGGCACATGGTCCCCTCGACCGGGAGTTCAACCAGCAGGCAGGCCGGCCAACCGCCCACGTCCCCTCCCCCTGGCCAGGCTGGCAGACCCCACCCATGCACGGATTCATGCACTGGGCCTCTTAACACACACACACACACACACACACACACACACACACTGAGTGGCCAGAGGATGATGATCTCTGGACGCATAATAATCTGGCCACTCCGTGTCTGTCCTATAGAATAAAAGGCTCATATGCAAATGGTCCCCTAGACCGGGAGTTCGACCAGCAGGCAGGCCGGCCAACCGCCCCCGTCCCCTCCCCCTGGCCAGGCTGGCCGGACCCCACCCATGCACGGATTCATGCACCGGGCCTATAATATATATATCTACACTGAGTGACCATCTGATGATCTCTGAACAGGTAATCATCCGGCCACTTCGTGTCTGTCCTATAGAATAAAAGGCTCATATGCACATGGTTCCCTCAACCAGGATTCAACCAGCAGGCAGGCCACCCAACTAGCTATGTCCCCGCCCCTGCCAGGCTGACCAGACCCCACCCACCCATGCATGAATGCATGCACCGGGCCTCTAATATATATACAAACACTTAGTGGCCAGACGATGATGATCTCTGAACGCACAGTCATCTGGCCACTCCGTCATATCCTATAGAATGAAAGGCTCACATGCAAATGGCCCCCTCAACCAGGAGTTCGACCAGCGGGCAGGCCGGCCAACTGCCCATGTCCCCTTACCCCTGGCCAGGCTGGCCAGCCCTCTGCCTTCCCCTCTCTAAAAACCAATGAAAACATATTTTTTAAAAATAATTAAAGAGCCCTAGCTGCTTTAGCTCTGTGGATAGAGCGTCGGCCGTGGACTAAAGGGTCCTGGGTTCGATCCTGGTCAAGGGCACATGCCCGGGGTTGCAGGCTCAATCCCCAATAGTGGGGGCATGCAGGGGACAGCCGATCCATGATTCTCTCTCATCATGTATGTTTCTCCCTCTCCCTCTCCCTTCCTCTTTGAAATCAATCTACCTAATAAAAGAGTAACATGCTAATTGACCATACCTTCGCGATGCCCACCAGCCAATCAGGAGTGGGTATGCAAATTAACCAAACAAAGATGGCAGGTTAATTTGCATATGCAGGTGCCCAGCAGCCGGGGGCGTTCTGTACCACCCAAGCCATTCCAGGCCTCTGGGAAGCGTGGAAAGGTGTAAAGGCGGCTCTAGGCGGTTCCAGCATTCAGGGGAAGTAAGGCCCATTCTGGCACGAATCTTCGTGCATCAGACCTTTAGTCAAAAAAATATATATATATATATTTTTTTAAAATATATGTTAATGATTTTTACAGAGAGGAAGGGAGAGGGATAGAGAGCTAGAAACATTGATGAGAGAGAAACATCCATCAGCTGCCTCCTGCATCCTCTCTACCAGGGATGTGCCCACAACCAAGGTACATGCCCTTGACCGGAATCGACCCTGGGTCCTTTTAGTCTGCAGCCCGATGCTCTATCCACTGAGCCACACCAGTTAGGGTTAGTAAAAATATAGTTAGCTGAAACCGGTGTGGCTCAGTGGATAGAGCGTCGGCCTGCAGACAGAAAGGTCCCGGGTTCAATTCCTGTCAAAGGCATGTAACTTGGTTGCGGGCACATCCCCAGTGGGGGGTATGCAGGAGGCAGCTGATGGATGTTTCTCTCTCATCGATGTTTCTAACTCTCTATCCCTCTCCCTTCCTCTCTGTAAAAAATCAATAAAATATATTTTTTTAAAAATAAAATAAATAAAAATAAAAATATATTAAAAAACAACAACAATAAAAGAAAAAAGGTCACATATCTTTTTAAAAATATATATATTTTATTGATTTCTTACAGAGAGGGAGAGAGATAGAGAGCTATAAACGTCGATGAGAGAGAAACATCGACCAGCTGCCTCCTGCACACCCCCTACCCGGGATGTGCCCGCAACCAAGGTACATGCCCCTGACCGGAATCGAACCCGGGACCTTTCATTGCGCAGACCGACGCTCTACTGCTGAGCCAAACTGGTTTCGGCAAGGTCACCAGACTCTCAGGGGCGGACGGGAGCGGAGCTGGGATGAGAACCGGTGGTGGTGGCCTCCACGCCTCTGCCTCCCACCCCGACCCCCCAGCCCGAGGGGCCCAGCCAGCAGCGCGGGAGGGAGTCCCCGGGTCCGCTCGGTCCTGGGATACAAGCCCAACTCTCGGGCCCCCACGTGCAGTCCCTGATGGCGAATGCGGAGTCATTCTGGCCTCACCGGACTCCTTGGTGTCACCAGCCGGGCACCGCGCCTGGCAGCTCGCCGCGGTGATTAAACCCGGTCTCCCGGCCCCTCGGCGGCCCCGAGATGAGATTACCGCATCCAGGCGGCCTCTCCCTGATGCGATTATTCCTCCCAAATTAGTTGACTCATGCACTCCCTCTTCTCCCAATTCGATTACGGTTTCCTTCTCTGCAGGGCTGTCTGGGTGCTTCAGACATACAACCCCCTCTCCCCCCACCTCGTCCCAGCCTCCGCTGCAGCCATAGTGTACACAAGGAGCCTTCCTCCGTCTTTTCCCTTTTTTATTTTTATTTTACTGATTTTTTTACCGAGGGGAAGGGAGAGGGACAGAGAGTCAGAAACATCGATGAGAGAGAAACATCCACCAGCTGCCTCCTGCACGCCCCCCTACCGGGGATGTGCCCGCAACCAAGGTCCATGCCCTTGACCGGAATCGAACCTGGGACCCTTCAGTCTGCAAGCCGATGCTCTATCCACTGAGCCACACTGGCCAGGGACGTCTTCCATATTTTTTTTCTTCTTTTTCTTTTTTAATGTATTGATTGATTAAGGTGTTACATATGTGTCCTTGTTCCCTCATTATCCCCCCCCCCCCATTATCCTCCACTCATGTCTTCATCTTTTTACTTGATTCTCAGGCATTTATTTATTTATTTATTTATTTATTTTTAAATATATATTTTATTGAGTTTTTACAGAGAGGAAGAGAGAGGGATAGAGAGTTAGAAACATCGATGAGAGAGAATCATCGATCAGCTGCCTCCAGCACACCCCCTACTGGGGATGTGCCCGCAACCAAGGTACATGCCCTTGACCGGAATCGAAACCGGGACCTTTGAGTTCTCAGGCCGACGCTCTATCCACTGAGCCAAACCGGTTTCGGCTATTTATTTATTTTTTATTGCCATCCTGTCCTGTGACCGCACAGGATTCCAGGAGACTTTGGACTTAAGACGGTGTTTGGATATTGGGTATTGCTGGGGCGGGAGGGATGGGATGGTGGGCGAGGGAGAGAAAGAGGGACGAGGGACTTGCCCTAATAGGCTGATATCTCCCTTTTGGGTGTTAAAAGGAAATCACACCTAAAACTGGGCACGAAGGAGTCCTGAGAGAAAAGGGAGACGATGTTGGATTGTATTTGCTATCCTCACGGAGGCCGGAGTCCACTGTCGTTACTGACTATAAACTGGAATTGAACAGAGAAGACGTTAAGTTACGGCCTGGCCAGGGTGGCTCAGGGGTTGAGCATCCACCTCTGAACCAGGAGATCACAGTTCGATTCCCGGTCAGGGCACAGGCCCGGGTTGCAGGCTTGACCCCCTCCAGTAGGTGGCGTGCAGGAGGCAGCCGGTCCATGATTCTCTCTCATAGATGTTTTTCTCTCTCTTGTCTTCCTTTCTCTCTGAAATCAATTAAAAAAAAATAAAAAAAAATCTTCTTTTAAATGGAAGGAATAATAGATTAAGTACACATTCAGAAAATTCTCATTTAAAGAAGATTTAACATGACGGATGTTTTGTACGACTTTCCTGGTGCCTGAAGAGAAACTTAAGAATGGTACACTCCCTCAGACTGCTGATCAATGATGCTCTCTCCTCAGGGATGTTTCTCTCTCTGCTGCTCTCCCTTACTGTCCGACATCAACACAAATATACACGGAGTGGCCAGATGATGATGACCTCTGAACACATAATAAATCCGTGCATGGGTGGGGTCCGGCCAGCCTGGCTAGGGGAGGGGACATGGGCAGTTGGCCGGCCTGCCTGCTGGTTGAATCCCGGTCGAGGGGACCATGTGCACATGAGCCTTTTATTCTATAGGACAGACACCGAGTGGCCAGGTTATTATGCGTCCAGAGAGCATCATCCTCTGGCCGCTCCGGGTATCTATCCTGTGCTCAGGATTGAAAATGTATTCACGCCGCCTTCTCCGGAGGGCTGTTTTTTTTATTTTTTTATTTTCCTTCTTTCGATGATTATTGTTCTTTTATTTTTTTCAGATTCAGGACGACTGGAAGTACGTGGCCATGGTGATCGACCGCATCTTCCTGTGGGTCTTCGTCCTGGTGTGCATCCTGGGGACGGCCGGGCTGTTCCTGCAGCCGCTGATGGCGCGGGACGAGCCCTGAGCAGGGCGGTGCGCCCGCCCGTCCGGGGGGCAGGGGGCAGGGCGAGCCGGGAGCTGGGGCGGGAGCCCCTTTTTCTATATTGAGATAAAACACACAGCGTCCACTTCACCATCGTAACCTGCTGACATGCACCGGTCGGCGGCATCCGGCAGCCACGTGGCTGTGCCGTCGCCATCACTCTCGGACCCCATCACCCTCCCCATCCTGTAGGCGGGAACCCATACCCTTACCCAGCGGCTCCCTGCTCCCCCTCCCCGGCCCCTGCCATCCGCCATTCTGCTTTCTGTTATTTTTCCTTAGTGCATAGATTTTGTTGATGTTTACAGAGAAGAGGGGAGAGGGAGAGAGAGTGAGAACCATCGATGTGAAACATCGCTCAGCTGCCTCCCGCTCTCCCTCCACTGGGGACGTGCCCGCAACCAAGGTCCATGCCCTTGACCGGAATCGAACCCGGGACCCTTCAGTCCGCAGGCCGATGCTCTAACCACTGAGCCACACACTGATTAGAGCGTCTTTCTTTTCTTTCTTTTGACCCAACATGTTAAGATTTTGCCCTGGCTGGTTTGACACAGTGGATCGAGCGTTGGCCTGTGGACTCAAGGGTCTCGGGTTCGATTCCCGTCAAGGGCATGGACCTTGATTGCGGGCATGTACCTTGGGTGTAGGCACATCCCTAGGGGGCTGCGTGCAGGAGGCAGCTGATGGATGTTTCTCTCCAGTCGATGTTTCTAACTCTCTCTCCCTCTCCCTTCCTCTCTGAAATCAATAAAAATACCTTTTTAAAAACTTAAAACAGGGAATCATTTGGGGGTCTGGAACGGATTAATTCAACTTACATGATTTCTTTTTTTTTTTTTTTTTAATATTTTATTGATTTTTTTTTACAGAGAAGAAGGGAGAGACCGTTAGAAACATCCATCAGCTGCCTCCTGCACACCCCCCATCGGGGATGTGCCCACAACCAAGGTACGTGCCTTTGACCGAAATCAAACCTGGGACCCTTCAGTCCGCAGGCCGACGCTCTATCCACTGAGCCACACCGGTTAGGGCTCAACTTACATGATTTCTAATTGGGGGTGTGTGTGTGTGGGGGGGGTGATCCGGTGTTCAGACAGCCTTTCGGAGCGCATTAAGGGTGAGACACGAGGGGGAGCGTCATGCGGCTGCCGCCCCGATGTGCACGGGGGCGCCCACCGCGGCCCACTGATACACCACCGGGGCGAAGAGCCCCAGGGAGCCGACCACCGAGACCAGCAGGAACGCCCAGAGGAGAAGCCGGTCCAGCACCTGGGCGATGAACTTCCAGTCCTCCACCACCTGTGGCCGGAAAGAAAAAAAAAAAAATAAATGGCTCACAAAGAATGCAGAATCAACCCTGTCCACGTATGTGAAGACTAGAGGCCCGGCCGAAACCGGTGTGGCTCAGTGGATAGAGCGTAGGTCTGAGGACTCAAAGGTCCCGGGTTCGATTCCGGTCAAGGGCATGGACCTTGGTTGCGGGCACATCCCCAGTAGGGGGTGTGCAAGAGGCAGCTGATCGATGATTCTCTCTCATCGATGTTTCTAACTCTCTATCCCTCTCTCTTCCTCTCTGTAAAAAATCCATAAAATATATTAATAAAAAAAGACTAGAGGACCCGTGTATGAAGAGATGCGTGCCATAGGCCTTCCTTCCCCTGGGCTTCCGGCACCGGTTTTTCTCCCGCACCCGTGACCCAGGCCTTGGCTCCGGCCGGACCCTTCCCCCTCCCCCGAACCCCCCATCCCTCTCATAGCAGGCATCCTGCCCTGCCCAGCCACTCCGCGCACAGAGCGGCTGGGCGGCCTCCATCTTTGTCCTTCTCATTTGCATATCCCCTCCTGATTGGCTGGTGGGCGGCGTAGCAGAGTGATGGTCAATTTGCATGTGGCTCTTTTATTAGATATCATCTGCTGCCCTGGCCTGTGTGGTTCCGTGGATAGAGTGTTGACTTTCCGACTGAAGGGTCCCGGTTCGATTCCCGGTCAAGGGCACGTGCCTGGGTTGTGGGCTCGATCCCCAGTAGGGGGCGGGCAGGAGGCAGCCGATCCATGATTTTCTCTCGTCATGGATGTTTCTATCTTCCCCTCCTTTTCTCCCTGAAATAAATATATACACTGAGTGGCCAGATGATTATGCATTCAGAGATCATCGTCATCTGGCCCCTCAGTGTACATACATATAGATAGATAGATAGATAGATAGATAGATAGATAGATAGATAGATAGATAGATATTTTTTAAAGATATAATCTGCTGCTGATACCGGTTTGGCTCAATGGATAGAGCGTCAGCTTGGGGACTGAAGGGTCCTGGGTTCGATTCCGGTTAAGGCCATGTACCTCGGTTGCAGGCATATCCCCAGTAGGGGTGTGCAAGAGGTAGCTGGTCGATGACTCTCTCTCATCGATGTTTCTAACTCTCTCTCTCTCTCCCTTCCTCTCTGTACAAAATCAATAAAATATATTTTTTTAAAAAGGAAAAAAAAGATACAATCTGCTGAATTAAGGCCAAAGCAGTTTCTGCTGCCTCAACACTGTATGTCTCCTCCCCCCACCTCCATCCCCCACCCCGTGCTCAGCACTCAGGAACAGATTCTGTGATAAGAGGGACTCAGGCCGAAACCGGTGTGGTTCAGTGGATAGAGTGTTGGTCTGCGGACTGAAGGGTCCCAGGTTCGATTCAGGTCAAGGACATGTACCTTGGTTGCGGACACATCCCCAGTGGGGGGTGTGCAGGAGGCGGCTGGTCAATGTATCTCTCTCATCGATGTTTCTAACTCTCTGTCCCTCTCCCTTCCTCTCTGTGAAAAATCAATAAAATATATTTTAAAAAAGAAAAAAAAAAAAAGAGAGACTCAGGACATGGCCCAATGTCATTCACACATCGCTTGCAATGTTTTACAATTGGCTTGTTTTGATGATATATAATAAAAGAATATTTATACTATTTGCCAAAACCGGTTTGGCTCAGTGGATAGAGCATCAGCCTGCAGACTGAAGGGTCCCGGGTTCGATTCCGGTCAAGGGCATGTGCCTTGGGTGCGGGCACATCCCCAGTGGAGGGCGTGCAAGAGGCAGCTGATCGATGACTCTCTTGTCAATGTTTCTAACTCTCCATCTCTCTCCCTTCCTCTCTGTGGAAAATCAATACAATATATATATTTTTTAAAAAAAGAATATTTATACTGTTTGAATATTTGGTCATAAAATCCCCAAGATGTCTTTCATTCCCTTTCCCCCCTGTTAAATATATTTTTATCGATGTCAGAGAGGGAGAGGGAGAGAGAAACGTCCATTATGAGAGAGAACCATGGACCGGCTGCCTCCTACACGCTCCCCACTTGCGATGGAGCCCGCAACCCGGGCAGGTGCTCTGACCAGGAATTGAACCGTGAGCTCCAGGTTCAAAGGCTGACATTCAACCACTGAGAGACCTGGCCTCATTTATTTATTTATTTTAAATATATTTTATTGATTTTTTTACAGAGAGGAAGGTTAGACAGAAACATCGATGAGAGAGAAACATCCATCAGCTGCCTCTTGCACACCGCCCACTGGGGATGTGCCCGCAACCAAGATACATGCCCTTGACCGGAATCGAACCTGGGACCTTTCAGCCTGAAGACAGATGCTCTATCCACTGAGCCACACCGGTCAGGGCCTCTTTCATTCTTAACACATACAGCAACACTAAGTTTTCTTTAAAATCATCTTAGATGCCAGCCAGTGAGCCTCAGGGGTTGAGCATCGACCTATGAACCAGAAGGTCTGGGCACAGGCCCAGGCTGTAAGCTCAATCCCCAGTGGGGAGCATGCGGGAGGTGGCCGGCCAATGATTTTTCTCTCATCGCTGATGTTTCTCTCTCTCTCCTTTTCACTTCTTTCTGAAATCAATAAAAACGTATTTACAGCCGAAACCGGTGTGGCTCAGTGGATAGAGCATCGACCTGCGGACTGAAAGGTCCCGGGTTCGATTCCGGTCAAGGGCATATATATACCTTGGTTGTGGTCACATCCCCAGTAGGGGGTGTGCAAGAGGCAGCTGACCGATGATTCTCTCTCATCGATGTTTCTAACTCTCTATCCCTCTCTCTTCCTCTCTGTAAAAAAAAAAAATCAATTAAAAAAAATATTTTTAAAAAAATAAAAATAAAAACAAACAAACGAAAAACCCAGGACCCTTCCGTCTGCAGGCCGGCGCTCTACCCACTGAGCCACACCGGCCAGGGGGGCCAGAACAGATTCTGCAAAGACCTTCAGGAGGATGCGCATCCACACGTCCAGCCCCTGCCCTGCTGCTTGGCTCAAGGAGAGCCGTGACCCGCCTGTGGGACACCCCCCTACCCCCACTCCCCACTCCCCACTCCCCAACTCCCCCCACCCCAGCACGGACCTCTCGGACCGCGTTCTCCTTCACCACGTGCCTCGCAATGTAGCGGACGGCGTCCAGCGCGGCTCCCAGCGGGTCCCGGGCGGGCGGGGGGCGGCCCCGGGCCCGCTCCTCCCGCCGGGCCCGGGCGGAGTAGCGGTCGGCGTGGCCCCGCATGCACAGCAGCCGGGGCAGCCGCCGCAGGAACAGCCGGCGGACCCAGGGCGCCATGGCCCGGTGCGTGGCGGGCCCGCGGTGGTGCACGTTGACGGCGAAGACGGTGACGGCGATGGACAGCGTGACGAAGATCATGGTGAGCACCAGGAACTCGCCCACCAGCGGGATGACCTTGGAGGACGAGGGGATGATTTCCTCGATGACCAGCAGGAAGACGGTGAGGGCCACGAGCACGGAGGTGCAGAGGGACACCTTCTCGCCGGCGTGGGCCGGCAGGTAGAAGACCAGGGCGGTGAGCAGGGAGAGGCCGCTGCAGGGCACGATGAGGAAGAGGGTGTAGAAGAGGGGCAGGCGCCGCAGCACCAGGGCGTAGGTGACGTGCGGGTACCAGCGCCGGCCGTCCGTGCGGTTGGCCCGGCGGCCCGCGGCGCTCAGGATCTCCCACTCGCCGTTGTCGAAAAAGTCCCTGCGGTCCGCGTCCCCCGCCGCCAGCAGCAGCTCCACCTGGGAGCCGTCGTAGGTCCAGGAGCCGAAGCGCAGGGAGCAGTTCTGGCGGTCGAACGGGAAGAAGGTCACGTCGATGGTGCAGGAGCTCTTGAAGTTGGCGGGCGGCGCCCAGGCCACCGTGCCGTCGAACCGCACCACCGCCTTCGTGCGGGCCCCTTCGAACTGCCCGTCGGCGCTGAAACACACACACACACACACACACACACACAGGGACACGGTAGGAGTCGACCTAGGAACCTGGAGGTCGGGGGTCCATTCCTGGTCAGGGCACAGGCCCGGGTTGCGGGCGGGAACCCCAGTGTGGGGCGTGCAGGGGGCAGCCGATCTGTGATTCTCATATGGATGTTTCTGTCCCTCCCTCCCTCCCCCTTCCTCTCTGAGATTATATATTTTATTTTTATTTTACTTTTTATTTTTTTTAATATAGCCAAAACCGGTGTGGCTCAGTGGATAGAGCGTCGGCCTGCAGACTGAAAGGTCCCGGGTTCAATTCCGGTCAAGGACATGCACCTTGGTTGCGGGCACATCCCCGGTAGGGGGTGTGCTAGAGGCAACTGATGATTTTCTCTCATTGATGTTTCTAGCTCTCTATCCCTCTACCTTTCTCTATGTGGAAATCAATTTAAAAAATTTTTTTTTAAATGCGTGCACGCGTGCGCGCGCGCGCGCACACACACACACACACACACACACACACAGAAGCACTGTAGGCAGGCTCAGTGGTTGTGTGTCGACCTAGGAACCTGGAGTTAACAGCTCCATTCCCGGTCAGGGCACAGGCCCGGGTGGCGGGTTCGATCCCCAGTGAGGGGCGTGCAGGAGGCAGCCGATCCGTGATTCTCTCTCATCATGGATGTTCCTCTTTCTCCCTCTCTCACCCTTCCTCTCTGAGATAAAATATATGTATATAGCCGAAACCGGTTTGGCTCAGAGGATAGAACGTCGGCCTGCGGACTGAAAGATCTTGAGTTCAATTCCGGTCAAGGGCATGGACCTTGGTTGCCGGCACATCCCCAGTAGGGGGGGGTGCAAAAGGCAGCTGATCGATGTTTCTCTCTCTTCGATGTTTCCGACTTTCTATCCCTCTCTTTTCCTCTCTGTAAAAAATTAAATATTAGCCTGCTCTATTTGGTAGGACATTTAAAAAATATATATATTATTGATTTTTTACAGAGAGGAAGGGAGAGGGAGAGAGAGCTAGAAACATCGATGAGAGAAAAACGTCCAAAAGATGCCTCCTGCACACCCCCTATTGGGGATGTGCCCGCAGCCAACATACATGCCCTTGACCGGAATCGAACCTGGGACCTTCCAATCTTCAGGCCGAAGCTCTATCCACTGAGCCAAACTTGTTAGGGCCAAACATTTTTTTTTAAATATATATTTTTATTGATTTAAGGGAGGAAGGGAGAGGAGAGAGAGAAACATCAATGATGAGAGGGAATCATGGACTGTTTGCCTCCTGCACGGTGGACCGAGCCTGCAACCCAGGCCTGTGCCCTTGACCGGAATCGAACCCGGGACCCTTTGGTCCACGGGCTGACACTCCATCCATTGAGCAACACCAGTCAGGGCTGGTCGAACATTTAATTAACTCACCCTACTGCCTTGGCAGGGCCAGCCTCCCCCTCCCCTGCTCCAGGTGCTGGACCGTGGGACTGACCGTTAGCGACCCTCTGACTTCCTCACCCCTTCCTGACCTTCCCCAATAAGTCACTGCTGGAATTCTTGTTCTGGCACATAGAAGGGTTCAGCAGCCGAAACCGGTGTGGCTCAGTGGTAGAGCGTCTGTCTGCGGACTGAAAGGTCCCAGGTTCGATTCCGGTCAAGGGCATGTACCTGGGTTGCGGGCACATCCCCAGTGGAGGGTGTGCAAGAGGCAGCTGGTTGATGACTCTCTCTCTCTCATTGACGTTTCTAGCTCTCTATCTCTCTCCCTTCTTCTCTGTAAAAAAATCAATAAAATGTATTAAAAAAAAAAAAAGGGGGGGGGGTTCAGCAATCTGGAGAAAGGCTGTGTGCAGCTTAAGAGTCCAGAGACAAAAGATGGTTTTGAAAGCCATTGGGGGTCAGAGGAGCTTCCGCTAAAGGAGCTAACGACTCTCTCCTTGTCTCAGAACCCTTGCTTTTTATTAATACAATTTGTCCTAAGGCAAGGTGGAGATAAGACCCTTCAGAGGGTAGGGTTTCATACAGAATCCATTGTAAGATTAGGGAATTGCCCTCAGCTGTTCCCGTGTTTGGCCAACAGGAGGCAGTAACATGTAGATGGAGATGCCCTGAGCTGTCTGGCAGCAAACAGCCATCCTATTCAGGTTTGGGGGAAGTGCCGTTCAGCTGCTCCAACCGGCAATCACGTATGTGACTCAGCCCTCCTTGAGCCCCATGAATCTTTTGATAAAACTCTTGCAATTGTGACGTGCTGGAACTGGCTTTCTGCATGTCACTAATGTCATACATCAAAGACACTTGTTCGATCCGAAAACAGCACGCACATGCACACGTGCACACGCAAAAGGAGGGGACCCACGGAACCCATCTGAAGCCAAAGAATGTGAAACCGGGTCATGCGATTGGACAGCCACACACATCTCAAAAGGAAGGAGACGGCCCTGACCGGTGTGGCTCAGTGGATAGAGTGTCGGCCTGTGGACTGAAGGGTCCCAGGTTCGATTCCGGTCAGGAGCATGTACCTTGATTGCGGACACATCCCCAGTAGGGAGTGTGCAAGAGGCAGCTGATGGATGTTTCTCTCTCATTAATGTCTCTAACTCTCTGTCCCTCTCCCATCCTCTCTGTAAAAAAATCAATAAAATATATTTTTTTTTTTAAAAGAAGGAAGGAGACAGACGTTCCTTGTGTCCAATCACAAGGCCCGTGTTCGCTTTGGACATGCACAACGGAAGCTGGATTGCGACTTACTTATCAAACAGGACGATGTCTGGGGTCCAGAGCGAGTCTGAAGGGACCCGTATGGCCTGGATCCCCCCGTAGTCCTCGGGGTTCCACCGGAGCTTCATGTCTCTCCACTCCTTTGGAACAAAGAAAACGGTGTCAATTTCTTTCTTTTCTTTTCTTTCTTTTTTTAAAAATATATTGTACAAGAGGCAGCTGATCGATGACTCTCTCTCATCGATGTTTCTAACTCTCTATCTTTCTCTCTTCCTCTCTGTACAAAATCAATAAAATATATTTTAAAAATAATATATATATATTGTAGCTGAAACTGGTGTGGCTCAGTGGGTAGAGCGTCGGCCTGTGGACCGAAAGGTCTCAGGTTCGATTCCGGTTGGGGGCATGGACCTTGGTTGCGGGCACATCCCGGTGGGGGGTGTGCAAGAGGCAGTTGGTCTCTCTCATCGATATTTCTAGCTCTCTATTCCTCTCTCTTCCTCTCTGTAAAAATCAATTAAAAAAAATATATATATATATAGCATTGATTTTTTTACAGAGAGGAAGGGAGATAGTTAGAAACATCGATGAGAGAGAATCATCGATCAGCTGCCTGGGTATATGCAACCAAGGTCCATGCCCCCAACCGGAATCGAACTCGGGACCCTTCGGTCCGCAGGCCGACGCTCTACCCACTGAGCCACACTGGCTTCCGCACGGCGACGATTTCGACAGACTTCATCCTCAGAGGGACCGAACACGGTCAGACAGGAGGCCTTGTCCGCTCCCGACAGAGAGAGCACTGGCCACTGGGCTGCCTTGTCCCTGCGGCCGGCCACGGCTCTGAGCGGGGTCCTTGTGGGCTGGAGCGCCAGGCTGTGTGTGCGCTCCCGGTTCTGCGTGGCGCCCCTTCTCCCACCACCAGCCTGGCCCAGGAGGTGCGGCCTCGGGCATGTCCGGGTTCGAGGGGAACATCCCTTTTCCAGATGTGTGGAAGGACCAGCCAGACTGATCCATGCAAAGTGCAGCTGGACATGCTCCACACTCCACATACGTGAACACCCATTCCACACACGTGAACACCTTGCCCAACCCCCACGCCGGAACAACGCCAGGATCCTGTCAAATCAAGACTCCAAGGAAATCACACGTGCCTTGTGGGAGTTAAGAGTTGGGGAAGTGGTGGTTGGTATTAAAAAGTAGGGACACCAGCCAAAACCGGTGTGGCTCAGTGGTAGAGCGTCGGCCTGCGGACTAAAAGGTCCCGGGTTCGATTCTGGTCAAGGGCATATACCTTAGTTGCGAACACATCCCCGGTAAGGGGTGTGCAAGAGGCATCTGGTCGATGTTTCTCTCTCATCGATGTTTCTGGCTCTCTCTCTCTCTCCCTTCCTCTCTGTAAGAAATCAATAAAATATATTAAAAAAAAAAAAAGTAGGGACACTGGGCCGAAACCAGTGTGGCTCAATGGGTAGAGTGTCGGCCTGCGGACTGAAGGGTCCCGGGTTTGATTCCGGTCAAGGGCATGTAACTTGGTTGCGGGCACATCCCCAGTGGGGGCCTGCAGGAGGCAGCCAGTCCATGATTCTCTCTCATCATGGATGCTTCTATATCTCTCTCCTTCTCCCTTCCTCTCTCTCTCTCTCAAAAGCAATAAAAACATATTTTAAAAATAAATAAAAAATAAAGCCCTAGGTGGTGTGGCTCAGTGGATAGAGCATCGGCCTGCGGAATGAAGGGTCCCAGGTTCGATTCCAGTCAAGGGCATGGACCTCAATTGCAGGCTCCCCTGCCCTGGATGGGGAGCATGCAGGAGGCAACCCATCGATGTGTTTCTCTCACATCTGTGTTTCTCTCTGTCTCTCCCTCTTCCTTCCATTCTCTCTGATAGTCAATGGAAAAAATAGTCTCAGGTGAAGATGAACACAAATAAAAATAAAAATATAGGTCCTGACCAGTGTGGCTCAATGGATAGAGCATCGGCCTGCAGACTTAATGGTCCCAGGTTTGATTCCCACCAAGGGCTTGTACCCTGGTTACATGTACATCCCCAGTAGGGGGCGTGCAGGAGGCAGCTGATGGAAGTTTCTAACTCTATCCCTCTCCCTTCCTCTCTGTAAAAATCAATAATACACACACACACACACACATACATATCCAACACCCCTATTTCCTAGAACATTTTCTTTTTTTTTTTTTTTTTAATATATTTTACTGATTTCTTACAGAGAAGAAGGGAGAGGGATTAGAAAGCTAGAAACATCAATGAGAGAGAAACATCGACCAGCCACCTCCTGCACACCCCGCACTGGGGATGTGCCCGCAACCAAGGCCCATGCCCTTGACCGGAATCGAACCTGGGACCCTTCAGTCTGTAGACCGATGCTCTATCCACTGAGCCACACCGGTTTTGGCTTCCAGCCCATTTCCCCCAAGCTGATCAGTGTTGCTCACAGCTGCTCCCCAGTGCCTGCCACTCAGGTAACACCAGCGGAGTAAATACGAGACCTCCATCTGCCTGGCCCGCCCGCCTCCCAGTGCACCAGCCCGCCCTCCCTCACACCCCCGTGCCTCACGCCCGGTAGTAAACGGGTCGCAGGTTGCCAGGGGAGCGGCCTTTTGCACTTGATACGTACCTGCTTCAACCAGACGTTCGTGGTCATCAGCTGGTTTTTCTCATCCTGAAAAACAAAGATTTAAATAAGACCAATGGGCCCTGACCGGCGTGGCTCAGTGGACAGAGCGGCCGCCTGGGGGCTGAAGGGTCCCGGGTTCGATTCCCATCAAGGGCACAGGCCTGGGTTGGAGGTTCCATCACCAGTCAGGGGCGTGCAAGAGGCAGCCGATCCATGATTCTCTCTCATCATGGATGTTTCTCTCTCTCTCCCTCTCCCTTCCTCTCTGACATCAGTAAAAATACATTTAAAAAATTAAAAAGTATTAAATAAGGCAGATAGTTCCGATTCCAGACAGGACGATTCTTTAAATACGAGTCCTCCCATCTGATGCCAACGCTCCTCCCTGGAGAACCACGTTCTGTTCCTTCGTCCGGAAAAGCGGGCCCTTTTTCCAGCCTCGTTTCACGTGATTCCGCCCAACACACTCTGCACTTCCGATACGCTGCCCTCGCGTTCACCATTGGCATTTTTATATAATTTTTATTTTTTTAAAATGTATTTTATTGAGTTTTTACAGAGAAAGGGACAAGGATAGAGAGTTAGAAACATCGACCAGCTACCTCCTGCACATCCCCTACAGGGGATGTGCCCGCAACCAAGGTCCATGCCCTTGACTGGAATCGAACCCGGGACCTTTTAGTCCGCAGGCCGACGCTCTATCCACTGAGCAACACCGCTTTTGGCACCATCGGTATTTTTAGATGTAACATTCATCATCTCAATCAGCACATTTCCTCAGATCTAACTAAGATACAACCGAAGAAGTAAGTCCCAACTTTATGTACTCGGCGCTGAGAGAGAGTATGGGCCCTGGCCGGTGTGGCTCAGTGGATAGAGCATCGGCCTGCGGACTGAAGGGTCCCAGGTTCGATTCCGGTCAGGGCACGTGCCTGGATTGTGGGCACATCTCTAGTGGAGGGCGTGCAGGGGGCAGCCGATCCATGATTCTTTCTCATCATTAATGTTTTTCTTTCTCTCTCTCTGCCTCTCTGTCCCTCTCTGAAATCGATAAAAATATATTTAAAAAACAAAAACTGCCGAAACCGGTTTGGCTCAATGGATAGAGCGTCGGCTTGGGGACTGAAAGGTCCCGGGTTCGATTCCGGTCAAGGGCATGTACCTTGGTTGCGGGATATCCTCAGTAGGGGGTGTGCAAGAGGCAGCTGATCGATGACTCTCTCTCATCGATGTTTCTAACTTTGTATCTCTCTCCCTTCCTCTCTGTACAAAATCAATAAAATATATTTAAAAAAAAAACAAAAAAAAAACAAAACAAAGGTGTGCAAAAATAAACAGCTCAAATTTTAAAAACAATCAATGGCAAAATGTCTGCTGGTGAGGATTAAAAATGAAACGAAACAGCACCTAGCTGGCTTGGCCCAGTGGATACAGCATCAGTCTGCAGACCTGGGGGGCTCCTGGGTAGGATTCCGGCCAGGGGCACCCGCCCAGGAGGTGGGCTCTGTCCCCAGTGGGGGGCGTGCAGGGGGCAGTCCATCAGTGATGCTCTCTCATCATGGATGTTTCTATCTCTCTCTCCCACTCCCTTCCTCTCTGAAATCAATCTACCTACTAAAAGAGTAGCATGCTAATTGACCGTACCTTGGCGATGTCCACCAGCCAATCAGGAGTGAGTATGCAAATTAACCCAACAAAGATGGTGGGTTGATTTGCATACAATGATTCCGAGTGGCTGGGGGCGTTCTGCACCGCCCCAGCTGCTCCAGGCCCCTGGGCAGCATGGGAAGGCAGAAAGGAAGCTCTGGCCAGAGCAAAGGTGGTGCTGGCAGCCAGGGGAAGGGAGGCCCATTCCTGCACGGATCTTCATGCATCCGGCCTCTAGTAAAAATATATTTAAGAAAAAAAAAAGGAAATTTAAAAACAAAAACAGCCGAAACCAGTTTGGCTCAGTGGATGGAGCGTCAGCCTGCGGACTGTGGGGTCCCAGGTTCGATTCCCGGTCAGGGGCATGTGCCTTGGTTGCGGGCACATCCCCGGTGGGGAGTGTGCGGGAGGCGGTTGGTCAATGTTCCTCTCTCATCAATGTTTCTGGCTCTCTATCCCTCTCTTTTCCTCTCTGTAAAAAATCAATAAAATATATTTTTTAAAAATTAAAAAAATAAAAACAAAAGCAGCCAAAACTGGTGTGGTTCAGTGGATGGAGCATCAGCCTAAGGACTGTGGGGTCCCAGGTTCGATTCCAGTCAGGGGCATGTGCCTTGGTTGCGGGCACATCCCCGGTGGGAGCTGTGCAGGAGAAGGCTGATGGATGTTTGTAACTTTCTATCTGTCTCCCTTCTTCTCTGTGAGAAATCAATAAAATATATTTTAAAAAAGCAAAAAACAAAACAAACAAACAAAAAAAAACAGAGCAGAGAAGTAGAAGTGGCCCAAACAGCAGGGGAGAGGACAGAAGGATAAATAGCTTAGCGGACGGAGGGCATCCATCCTCAGGCTCATCCCTAAGAAGGGAGAATGGCCGAAACCGGTGTGGCTCAGTGGATAGAGCACCGGCCTGTGGATTCAAGGGTCCCAGATTCGATTCCGGTCAAGGGCATGTACCTTGGTTGCGGGCACATCCCCAGTGGGGGGCGTGCAGGAGGCAGCTGATGGATGTTTCTCTCTCATCGATGTTTCTGACTCTCTATCCCTCTCTCTTCCTCTCTGTAAAATATCAATAGAATAATAAGATATATTAAAATAAAAGAAAAGGAAAAGAAAGAAGGGAGAATGACCCGGAAGGAAGGAGGAGGCCCCAAGGGAGCATGTCCCAGAGGCAATGGCGGCTGTGGGGTGGGGGGAGGGTCCTCGCCCGGGAAGTGGGAGCCCTGGGGAAGACCGTCTGGCCAGCTCCCTCGTACCGAGGCCCCAGAGAGCCATTCCCACCGCTCGGGCTGGCGACGCCGGATCCAGGGGACGCACACACCTACCACGTCCACCAGCTGGGAGATGGCGAGGCCAAACGTGATGCTGATCCGGTCGCTGAGGCGCTCCACCGGCCGGACCCAGCGCTCGTAGTCCTGAAACAGGTCCCGCAGCAGGCCGTCCTCGTGTTTGGCTGCAGAGAACGGTTCGGCCAGCCCTGCAACACAGATGCTCCACAGTTAGCCTGTGGGCTTCTCTCCGGCCAAATCCTCCTACTTCACACACACACACACACACACACACACACACACACGCACACGCACACACACGCACACACGCTGGCCGGTGTGGCTCAGTGGATAGAGCACCGGTCTGCAGACTGAAGGGTCCCAGGTTCGATTCCGGCCAAGGGCACGGACCTTGGTTGCGGGCACATCCCCAGTGGGGGGTGTGCAGGAGGCAGCTGATGGATGTTTCTCTCTCGTCCTGGATGTTTCTAACTCTCTCCCTCTTCCTTCCTCTCTGAAATCAATAGAAATATATTTTTTTAAAGCGTTTGTCATCATTCATAAGCCAGCACTATTACTTAGGCCGTGATGAAGAGTCCTTTCCGAGTGCAATATCAACACAGAGGTCTGAGATCAATGAGGACCACTCTGCTCAGAGACATTTCTTAGTCAATCAGATTACTCACTCGGGAACGTGCCGAGTTCCTCGAGAAGCACTCAACGCGATACAGAGGCACTTAGACTCTAAGGAACAGCCCGGCCGGCGTGGCTCAGTGATAGAGCATCAGCCTGTGGGCTGATGGGTCCCAGGTTCGATTCCCAGTCAGGACACCTGCCTGGTTCGCGGGCTCGATCCCCGGTAGAGGGCGTGGTGGAGGCAGCCGATGCGTGATGCTCTCTCCTCGTGAATGTTTCTATCCTTTTCTCCCTCTCCCGTCCTCTTTCCGAAATCAATCCTATATAATAAAAGGCTAATATGCAAATCGACCAAATAGCAGAACAAGCGGTCGCTATGACATGCACTGACCACCAGGGGGCAGACGCTCAACACAGGACTGCTCCCTGGGGGTCACAGCTCCCACAGGGGGGGGGTGTCTCAGCCGGCTCACAGCTGCTGAGCTCAGCAGAGGGGGCGGAGCCTCTCCCGCCGCCGCTGCCGGCTGGCGGTTCGCAGGGAGGGATCCCGGACTGAGAGGGATGTCTGACTGCCAGCTTAGGATCCGTGTTCTTTCATCATTGATGTTTCTCTCTCTCTCCCTTTCCCTTCCTCTGAAACCAATTTTATATATATATAAAAATACACACACACACACACACACACACACACACACCAGAGGCCCAATGGACAAAATTCACGCAAGGAGCTCAGCCCCTGCAGCCATGGAGGCTTGCCTCGGCCCTCGCAGTCCTTGCTTTGTCCAGAAGGTCGTCTGGAAAGACTCTGGAAGGACATCTGGAAGGTCATTCAGCTGTCCAGTCTAATTAGCATATTACACTTTTATTATTATAGATTTTTTTACAGAGAGGAAGGGATAGAGATAGAGCGTTAGAAACATCGATGAGAGAGAAACATCGATCAGCTGCCTTCACATCTCCTATTGGGAATGTGCCCACAACCAATGTACATGCCCTTGACTGGAATCGAACCCGGGACCCTTCAGTCCAGAGGTCGACACTCTATCAACTGAGCCAAACCAGTTAGGGCTATTATAGATTTTTTTAAAAAAAAAATATTTTTATTGATTTTGTACAGAGAGGAAGGGAGAGAGATAGAGAGCTAGAAACATCGATGAGAGAGAAACATGGACCAGCTGCCTCTTGCACACCCCCTACCGGGGATGTGCCCGCAACAAAGGTACATGCCCTTGCCCGGAATCGAACCCGGGACCTTTCAGTCCGCAGACCGACGCTCTACCACTGAGCCAAACCGGCTTCAGCTTTTTAAAAATATATATTTTATTTATTTTTTACAGAGAGGAAGGGAGAAAGATAGTTAGAAACATCGATGAGAGAGAAACATCGACCAGCTGCCTCCTGTACACCCCCCACTGGGGATGTGCCCGCAACCAAGTTACATGCCCTTGACGGGAATCGAACCCGGGACCCTTCAGTCTGCAGGCTGACGCTCTCTCCACTGAGCCAAACCTGTTAGTGCAATAACTCACTCTCTCTCTCTCTATATATATATATATTTTTTTTTTAATTTATTTTTTTTAAACGTCTTTACGTTCTGGGACTTGCTCCCCTCCACCCCTAATTCAGTACTGGATGTCGGTACATCTCTATCCACCTCCAGTCTCTCTTCGCACGTGGTAAGGGGTCGGGCTTACGGGTGTGTTGTCATTTGCGTAAGCTTTCCCCGCCAAAGGGCATGTCTGTGGTCCTCAGCTTGGGGTTCTTGCTGAGGACGCCACGGAGGGAAAATGCTGTGGTTAACATCCTGTGCGTCTTTTCCCCACACTTACAGGACAATTTATGGCGGCGACTTTTAGAACCGCTGAGTCAGGGCACGCACGTTTTAAATCCTGCCAGCTGCTGCCAATGTGTGCCCTTTGGTCTGCGCCCGCCGTCACAAGAACAAAATAAGGTAATATATCTGAAAAGCTTCGTAAGAGGTTTTTCCATAAGGCAGGCATTCCCCTCAATGTCTCCTTGGGAGATATATATAATTTTTATAGAGAGGAAAGGAGAGGGACAGAGACTTAGAAACATTGATGAGCGGAAACCGGTGTGGCTCAGTGGATAGAGCATCAGCCTGCGGACTGAAAGCCCCCAGGTTCGATTCCGGTCAAGGGCATGTACCTTGGTTGTGGGCACATCCTCAGTGGGGGACGTGCAGGAGGCAGCTGATGGATGTTTCTCTCTCATCGATGTTTCTAACTCTCTCTCTCCCTTCCTCTTTGTAAAAAAAAAAAAAAATCAGTGAAATATTTTTTTTAAAAAAGAAACATTGATGAGAGAGAAACATCCATCAGCTGCCTCCTGCACACCCCCTACTGTCCCCAGTGCATGTAACCAAGGTACATGCTCTTGATGGGAATCGATCCCGGGACCTTTCAGTCCGCAGGCCGACGCTCTATCCACTGAGCCACACCAGTCAGGGCTGGACTTCTGTTTTTAAGTTAACAGAAAGTGACATATCCCTTAAGAAAAAGAAAAATCCTTTGGTAACAGTCCCAGGAAGGCTATTTTAAGCAATGGCGAGAGAACACAGCGGTGAACATAATTGGCCCTTTTGTCAACGAGGAGAAAGGTGTGCTGTCGCCAACACTTTCAATGTGACAAATGAGTACTTATCAGTCCCTATTTTAAGTATTACTGGTGAAATGCGGAGGGAGGGGGGTGTATTTCCATCCTAGGATTTTCATTATACACGGAGTGGCCAGATGATAATGATTTGTGAACGCATAATCATCTGACCACTCAGTGTCTGTTCTATAGCATAAAAGGCTAATATGCACATGGTCCCCTCGACCAGGAGTCCGACCAGCAGGCAGGCCGGCCAACCGCCCATGTCCCCTCCCCCTGGCCAGGCTGGCTGGACCCCCACCCATGCACGATAATCTGGCCAATCAGTGTGTGTGTGTGTGTGTGTGTGTGTGTGTGTAGATAGATGATAGCTAGATAGCTAGATAGATATGATAGATAGATCGATATTAGAGGCCCGTGCATGCATTCGTGCATGGGTGGGGTCCGGCCAGCCTGGCCAGGGGGAGGGGACGTGGGCAGTTGGCCGGCCTGCCTGCTGGTCAAACTCCTGGTTGAAGGGACCATTTGCATATGAGCCTTTTATTCTATAGGACAGACACGGAGTGGCCTGGTTATTATGCGCTCAGAGATCATCATCCTCTGGCCACTCCGTGTATTTGCTGTTCATTTTCATCACAGAATTAGAGGGGGTTCAAGTTTCTCTGGGGTGGCTCTGCTTTCGTTTTACCTTAATTTACTCTCTGTCCCGACTCTCCAACACTGACGTGAGAAAATGACCTGAGGCAGGTAAGTTTAGTCAGGAGCCAAGACAACATGCATATATTTAAACAAATAAACAAACAACCATATATTTGTAATGGTTTCAGAGAGGAAGGGAGGAGAGAGAAACATCAATGAGAGAGAAGCAGGGATTAGCTGCCTCCTGCACACCCCCTACTGGGGATGTGCCCACAACCAAAGTACATGCCCTTGACCGGAATCGAACCCAGGACCCTTCAGTCTGCAGGCCGACGCTCTATCCATTGAGCCACACCAGTTAGGGCTGCACAGGGCTTTAAAAATATGTTTTTATTGATTTCAGAGAGGAAGGGAGAGGGAGAGAAAGACACATCCATGATGACAGAGAATCATGGAACGGCTGCCTCCTGCACGCCCCACACTGGGGATTGAGCCCGCAACCATCTTGACCGGGAATCGAACCCGGGACCCTTCAGTCTGCAGGCCGGCGCTCTATCCACTGAGCCACACCGGCCAGGGCCTGGCTTCTTGCTTTGTTTGAAACGCCGCCCTCCAGGTGACCCCGCTTCGGTCCTCATTAAGCAGTGCGTTCGGCAAAACCTAATTCCGTTGGAGACGGCGATGGCTTCCTGGAATCGGAAACCATCGTGTGTCTTAAAGCCTCAAGGAAGCGGAGGCAGGAAGAGGCTCTTCTTTCCAAGAAGGAGGCTCACAGACCCGGTCCTGAGGCTCCGGGAGGGGCACCCAAAGGTCAAAAGGTCACGGGTTCAGCTCCAGGTCAAGGGCAGGTACCTGGGCTGCAAAGACAGCCCATCCATCTCTCTCTCTCTCTCTCCCCCCCATCCCTTCCACTCTCTTTTAAAGAAAAAAAAAATCACTGGGAAAAATACCCTCAGGTGAGAGTTAACAAAAAAAAACAAAACAAAAAAATCAATTAAAAAAACAAACAAAAATTAAACATGCTCGAGTGAAGATTTTTTTAAAAACACACTATTTTATTATTTTTTAAATATATTTTTATTGATTTTAGAGAGGAAGGGAGGGGGAGAGAAAGATAGAAACATCAATGATGAGAGAGAATCATGGATCAGCTGCCTCCTGCACGCCCCCCACTGGGGATGGAGCCCGCAACCCCAGGCCTGTGCCCTTGATCGGAATCGAACCTGGGACCCTTCAGTCCGCAGGCTGACGCTCCATCCACTGAGCCAAATCAGACAGGGGAAAAGAAAAAAAAAAAAAAAAGAAAAAAACTTTAAAAAAAAGAACACAACCGAAACAAGTTTGGCTCAATGGATAGAGCGTCGGCCTGCAGTCTGAAAGGTCCCGGGTTCGATTCCAGTCAAGGGCAAGTACCTTGATTGAGGGTACATCCCCAGTGTGGGGTGTGCAGGAGGCAGCTGGTCGATGTTTCTCTCTCATCAACATTTCTAACTATCCCTCTCAATTCCTCTCTGTGTAAAATCAATAAAATAAAATAAAATAAATTTTAAAAAACACATAAAAACAGCCATAGCCCAACCGGTGTGGCTCAGTGGGTGGAGCGTTGGCCCGGGAATGATGGGTCCCGGGTCGATTCCCGTCAAGGGCATGGACCTGGGTTGCAGGCTCCACCCCTGGCCCCCCACCCCCGTGGTGTGTGTGGCAGGCAGCTGATGGATCTATCTCTCTGTCTCCCCAAACCCCTTCCACTCTCTAAAAAATCAATGGGAGCCCTAGCTGCTGTGGCTCAGTGGACACAGTGTCCTCCTGCAGACTGAAGAGTCCTGGGTTCGAGTCCAGCCAAGGGCACATGCCTGGGTTGTGGGCTCCATCCCCAGTGTGGGGCGTGCAGGAGGCAGCCAATCCATGATTCTCTCTCAACATGGATGTTTCTCTCTCTTCTGCTCCCTTCCTCTCTGACATCAATAAAAACATATTTTAAAAAAGAACAAAGCGCTGAAACCGGTGTGGCTCAGTGGACAGACCGTCTGCCTGCGGACTGAAGGGTCCCGGGTTCGATTCCGGTCAAGGGCATGTGTCTTGGTTGCGGGCACATGCCCAGTAAGAGGTGTGCAGGAGGCAGCTGATGGATGTTTCTCTCTCATCGATGTTTCTAACTCTCTATCCCTCTCTCCTTCCTCTCTGTGAAAAAATCAATAAAATATATTTTTAAAAATCAATAACATATATTCTAAAGAAGAACAAAGCCATTCTCTAAAAAAAAAAAGAAAATCAATGGGAAAATATCCTCGGGTGAGGATTAACAAAAAGAGTAAAATTAAATCATAAAATAAAATAAAGTGAGATGAATAAAATAAAATCATAAATAAAATTAATAGAGTAGAATAACATTAAATCGTAACATAAATTAGCTGACTAGGATAGAATAGAATAAATAACGCAAAATAAATAAATCAGAAATACGCGGAGGTCGGAACGGCCGTGTCTCCGCTGAGCGGACCTGGCTGTCTGGGTGGGGGTCCCACCCCCGGGCCCCCATCGGGCCTCGGCAGCTTTGGGGGGGCCAGACGCCTTTTCCATCCCGTGGGGAGCGCGTGACCTGCGGGGGCGGGACGGGCTCCGCGCGGGGCGGGGGGGGGGGCGGTTCTGGGAGGACCCGGGGCGCCCCGACCGCACCCGCGACGGCCCGGCTCCTGGGCACCGGGCGGGCTCCCCCCGCCACGGGCCGGGGGCTCGGGGGGCTCAGGGCGGAGCCGGGGGGGGGGCTCAGGCCGGGCTCCCCAACGCCTCGGCGACCCCGCGCCCCTGACTGACAGGCCGGCGCCCGCAGCCCCGAGGCCGTCAGGGCACCCGGCGCCTCCCCAGTGAGGTGCCCGCGGGGCACTTCCACCGCAGCCGCCCCGCGCCCCCCGTCCCGCGCCCCTCAGGCCCCCGCCCCGCGCCCCCCACAGGCCCCCGCGCCCCCACAGGCTCCCGCGCCCCCACAGGCCCCCGCGCCCCCACAGGCTCCCGCGCCCCCACAGGCCCCCGCCCCGCGCCCCCCGCCCCGCGCCCCACAGGCCCCCGCCCCGCGCCCCCCGCCCCGCGCCCCACAGGCTCCCGCCCCGCGCCCCCCGCCCCGCGCCCCCCGCCCCGCACCCCCCCCAGGCTCCCCGCCCCGCGCCCCCCAGGCTCCCGTCCCGCGCCCCCCGCCCCGCGCCCCCCGCCCCGCGCCCCCCCCAGGCCCCCGCCCCGCCCCCCCCTCAGGCTCCCGCCCCGCGCCCCACAGGCTCCCGCCCCGCGCCCCACAGGCTCCCGCCCCGCGCCCCCCAGGCTCACCTCCGGGCGCGCCGTCCCCCGCACCGGCCGGACCCGGGTGCCCGGCGACCAGCCGGACCAGCAGCAGGAGGCGGAGGGCCGCGGGCCCGGACCCCCGCGCCGCCATCGCCCGGAGGCGCCTCAGGAACCGCCAGTGGGTCCCAGCGAAGCGGAGCGCCCGGCCCTCGTTCCCGGCGCCTGAGGAGCCGCCCGCCCCGGGCAAGCCCCGCCCCTCCCGCCATAGCCCCGCCTCCTCCCGCCATAGCCCCGCCTCCTCTCTTTAGCCCCGCCCTCCAGCCCCTCAGTCTCCTGACGGCCTCGTCTGGTTGTAGTGAATGCTTTTCCCGCTCTGCCTCATTTGCATCTAGCCCGCCCCTCCCTCCATAGCCCCGCCTTGTCCCTCTTTAACCCCGCCCCGTCTCTCTTTAGCCCCGCCCCCTCAGTCTTCTTACGGCCCCACCCCGTCTGGTTGTAGTGAATGTTTTTTCAGCTCCGCTCATTTGCATCTAGCCGGCCCCTTCTGCTATAGCTCCGCCTCCTCGAATTAGCCCCGCCCCCAACCCAGGTTGTAGTGAATGCTTTTCCAGCTCCGCTTTATTTGCATCTAGCCCGCCCCTTCCGCTATAGCCCCACCCCTCTCCTAAGACCCCGCCTCCTCTCTCTTTAGCCCCGCCCTCCAGCCCCTCAGTCTATGTCCGGCCCTGCCCTGTCTAGTCTAGTCGTACTTAGTCCGTTTTCAGCTCCGCCTCATCTGCATCTATCCAGATTCCCCCCCCCCCCATAGCCCCGTCCCACCCTCCTGCCCCTTAGTTTCCCTACGGCCCCACCCCATCCCGCCCAGCTAGATCCCGGCCCTGCCTTTGGTCTCTCTGCCCACTGGCCCCGCCTCCAGAACAGGTGCCAGTGTACCTCAGCTGACCCTGGGCACACCTGCCATTCATGGACACCTGCACCCGGAGGCAGGCGACAGGTGGGCAGAGAGAGAACTGACAGGAAGCCCCGCAGGTGTGTGGCTCCGTGGCTGAGCCTGGACCTATGACCCGGGAAAATAAAAATACATTAAAAAAAAAAAAAAGAAAAGAAAAGAAAGAAAACTGTGACATGGCCACATAGTCACAAGGGGTAGGATGTGACCCTGGCTCAGGCCCCCACCCCCACCCCATGATACCTCCCAGCAGCCTGCGGTCTCCTGGTCCCAGGTCAGCCAGGCCACTGGGCAAGTACCTCCCTCTGGACCAGTTTCCTTGTTCATTTTATATAAATACTAGTGACCTGTGCATGAAATTCATACACGGGGATGGGGGTGGAGGGGTGTCCCTCAGCCCGGCCTGCACCCTCGCCAATCTGGGACTCCTTTGGGGATGTCCAACTGCCAGTTTAGGCCTGACCACAGAGATCGGGCCTAAACCAGCAGTCAGACAACCCTCTGGCAATCCGGGACTGCTGGCTCCTAACCGCTCACCTGCTCACCTGCCTGCCAGCCTGATCGCCCCCACCTGCCACCCCTGCAGGCCTGATCGCCCCCAACTGCCCTCCCCTCCTGCCTGATCGCCCCTATCCTCCTCTGCCTCAGTCCCGCCACCATGGCTTTGTCCAGAAGGACATCTGGAAGGTCTCCTTGTCTAATTAGCACATTACCCTTTTACTGGTATACCAGAGGCCTGGTGCACAAATTTGTGCATAGGTGGGGTCCCTCGGCCTGGCCAGCAATTGGGGCTGTTTTCACCCAGTCCCGATGGGGGCCTGCAGGGACCATGGGAGGTTGGTCGGCCACAAAAGGTTAGTTGTGGGAGCTCACTGTCCACCAGGGAGGGGTGCATTGAGCGTCTGCCCCCTGGTGGTCAGTGTGTTGTCTTAGCGACCAGTCTCCTGGTCATTTGGCCAACCGGTTGTAACAGTCACTTAGGCTTTTATATATATAGATATATACTAATAAAAGGGTAATATCTGCCGGGACCGGTTTGGCTCAGTGGATAGAGCATCGGCCTGGGGACTGAAAGGTCCCGGGTTCGATTCTGGTCAAGGGCATGTACCTTGGTTGCGGGTGCATCCGTGGTGGGGGATGTGCAAGAGGCAGCTGATCGATCATTCTCTCTCATCGATGTTTCTAACTCTCTATCCCTCTCTCTTCCTCTCTGTGAAAAATCAATAAAATATATTTTTTTTAAAAAAAGGGTAATATCTGTATAAGTGATCTCAGAAAGGAAGGGAGAGGGAGAGAGAGATTGAAACATCCATGATGAGAGAGAATCATAGACCGGCTGCATCCTGCACGCCCCCCCCCCCCCCCGCTGGGGATCAAGCCCACAACCCGGGCCTGTGCCCTGACCAGGAATCGAACTGTGGCCCCCTGGTTCCTAGGTCAACGCTCCACCCCTGAGGCACACCGGCTGGATCCGTTTCCTCCTTCTTGACCGAGCAGGTCACCGGGAGGACCCCCCCTCCTCAGGGCCGTCCACGGAGACACCACGCCATGGCCTCAGAAGCCCCAGCGAACACCTGGAAACACCGTGACTCCATCTGCCACCGGCGCTGTGGCTCCCACGCTGACGGACACTGCCAGCGGGAGGCCCACGCACACCCAGCCGGGCCCTCCCTCCCACCCCTCCCGCCCTCGATGGATCGGGAAGCTCGTTGGGCTGCAGAGATTCTGCGACATCGCCTGAAGCCGCGGTGGCAGAGCGTGGCCGCCCCCCCAGAGCTCCTTGGGGGCGACGCCCCTCAGAAATGTCACTCAGGCCGAAGCCGGTGTGGCTCAGTGGATAGAGCGTCGGTCTGCGGACTGAAAGGTCCCAGGTTCGATTCCGGTCAAGGGCATGGACCTTGGTTGCAGACACATCCCTGGTCGGGGGTGTGCAAGAGGCAGCTGGTCGATGTTTCTCTCTCATCGACGTTTCTAGATCTCTATCCCTCTCTCCTCTATAAAAAATCAATAGAATATATATTATATAAAAAAAAAAAAAGCAAGCATAACTGCGTAGCTTTCAGTAGTTAAAAAAAAAATGAAGATGCCTGGCTGGCATGGCTCAGTGGTTAGGCATCGACCTATGAGCCAGGAGATCAAGGTTTGATTCCAGGTTAGGGCACATGCCCGGGTTGTGGGTTCAATCTCCAGTAGGGGATGTGCAGGAGGCAGCTGATCCATGATTCTCTCTCATCATGGATGTCTCTCTCCTCTCTCTCTCTCTCTCTCTGTCTCTGTCTCTGTCTCTGTCTCTGTCTCTCTCTCTCTCTCTCTCTTCTCCCTCTCCCTTCTTCCCTGAAATCAATGACGATGCTGGTGCATGGATTTGTGCGCGGTGGGGACCCTCAGCCTGGCCTGCGCCTCTCGCAGTCTGGGGGCTGTCAGAGAGCCGGTTTCAGCCCGATCCCCACAGGCCAGGCCGAGGGACCCCAGCGGTGCACGAATCCAGGCACCGGGGCTCTAGCAGGCATATAAGATATTTGGTTAATCTCTTCCTGCCCGCCCCCTTCCCTCTGAGATCCATCAGTCTGTTCCATGTTTCCATGCCTGTGCACTGAGCGCCTGCCCCCTGGTGGCCAGTGCGTGTTATGGCTACCAGTTAAACGGTCGCTTAGGTTTTTATATACGTATATACTGATGACCCAGTACACAAAATTCCTGCATGGGGGGGAGCCCGGCCTGCACCCTCTCCAATCTGGATCCCCTAAACCGGCAGTCAGACATCCCTCTGGCAATCCAGGACCGCTGGCTCCTAACTGCTCATCTACCTGTCTGCCGGATCGCCCCTAACCACTCTGCCTGCCAGCCTGCTGGCCCCCAACTGAACTGCCGTGCCCTCCCCTGCCCTCCCCTCCCCTGCCCTGTCCTCCTCTCCCCTGCCCTCCCCTCCCCTGCCCTCCCTTTCCCTGCCCTGTCCTCCTCTCCCCTCCCCTGCCCTCCTCTCCCCTGCCCTGTCCTCCTTTCCCCTGCCCTCCCCTCCCCTGCCCTATCCTCCTCTCCCCTGCCCTGCCCTCCCCTCCCCTGCCCTATCCTCCTCTCCCCTGCCCTGTCCTCCTCTCCCCTGCCCTCCCCTCCCCTGCCCTATCCTCCTCTCCCCTGCCCTATCCTCCTCTCCCCTGCCCTATCCTCCCCTCCCCTGCCCTATCCTCCTCTCCCCTGCCCTGTCCTCCTCTCCCCTGTCCTCCTCTCCCCTGCCCTGCCCTCCCCTCCCCCACCCTCCCCTGCCCTCGCTGGTCATGGTGTGTAATCGCCTGCCCTGCAGTGTCTGATTGCCCCACAGGAATCAGCTCCAGCAGCTGCGGCGGTCAGTCCCGGCGTGTGCCCAGGACACAGAGCGTGCAGGCGATGGGCAGTGACGGCCGGATGAATAAATGAATAAATGAATAAATGAATAGTAAGCAGCTCGCCCAGCGTCTCCAGCAAAGCTGGAAAATGGCGAGCAGGCTGCCAACCCACGGGTGCTGCCTTCAAACACGGAATCTCACCTTGGCTCCTTGGCTGAGCGTTAACCCAGGAACCAGGAGGTCAGGGTTCGATTCCCGGTCGGGGCACAGGCCAGAGTGTGGGTTCCATCCCCAGTGAGGGGGCGTGGAGGAGGCAGCCGGCCCATGATTCTCTCTCATCACGGATGTTTCTCTCTCCCCTCCCCCTTCCTCTCTGAAATGAATAAGAACAGATTAAAAAAAAATAAAAAATAGCTGTTGGTGGCGATTATTTGTGTGGCAATCAATCTTGGATGTGCATTTTCAGATACAAAATCCTTCGCCAAGGCCTGCTGATACTTCCACATTAAAGCGAGTGGGGCCCTGGCTGGTGTGGCTCAGTGGCTAGAGCGTCGGCCTGCGGACTTAAAGGTCCTGGGTTCGATTCCAGCCAAGGGCATGAGCCTTGGTTGCGGGCACATCCCCAGTGGGGGGTGTGCAGGAGGCAGCTGGTCGATGTTTCTCTCTCATCGACGTTTCTGAACCTCCCTCTTCCTTCCTCTCTGTAGAAAAAGTCAATAAAATATATGTCTTTAAAAATAAAATAAATAAAAGCAGGTGGGGCCCCGAGCAGGTGGCGCAGTGGGTTGGAGCATCCTCCCGCACACCAAAAAGGCTGTGGGTTCCATTCCCCTTCGGAGCCTGTAAGGGAGACAACTGATGGACTTCTCTCTCCCATAG